ACGCGCACGCGCACGCGCACGCGCACGCGCGCACGCACACGCACACGCACACGCACACGCACACATGCACATGATGAAAACGACGCAAAATGCGCCCATTCGTTAATACGTGCTTTTAAGTCACCAGTTGTTCACGAAAGTGATTTGCGTTGGCACTTTTCTCTTAGATATCCTACTCCCCTACTTCACCAGTACCAGGTAGTTGGAAACTTGGTTTAAGCGACCCTGGAGCCCTGAACAGGCAGACCCAAATGAATAGGCAGGTTTACAGGCGTGTTGAAAACAGGTTGGCAAACAGCCGGCGAGAAAAACGTGCTCATGTGTGCAGTGGCCACGTCTGGCCCTTGATGTATTCTTGTAAAAAACCGCTAAACAAATAAAGCAAACTGGGTTGACCCGGTTTCAGGATAAAGTCGGCTGCCCGGGGTGGCCCTTTGAAACATGACAAAACCCCTGCAAGTCCCTGCCTCACGGACGAGTCTGTGAGAACTCCCGACCCCCGGACCAAGCTTGAGCCACTTACCTCGCTGGAAGCGCTGCCACTCATAGGCTTCATCATATGTCCCTTCTAAATGTCACAGCCAGAGGCGACTCTAAACAAGGCCCGAAATGTGATGTTGAAAGTTTAAGCCACAATAAAGTACAATTGAATGACCCTCGGCATCAGCTTGGTTCTGGTCCGAACTTGTCCCATGGAACGCCAGCCGATGGAAAACACTCACCTTTGCCAATTGAAACTGGAAGAAAGGAATCTGATCCGGCTGCGTGGAATGCTTGCGAAGGGCTTGGAGGCCCTGTTGAAACCGGACAGGACAATGGCGGTGCCAAACCTGATCAGAGGGAGGCCTCGATGCATCCGACCGGCCCGACCCGATTTGCTCCTAAATCTCATGGACTCGTGAGGTGAGCATGGCGTGGTAGGGTTTCGGACTCCAGCCCACCTTCCATCCTCTGTGAAGCTGGGTCCCTTAAAGTGAGTACATCTTCCGGGGATGTCAACGTCACGTCGCGGGCCTTTTAAACCGCCATGAGGAGTTGTCATGTTCTGGATGTCACGTGAATCACTAAAGCTAGCTACTCCAGCATTGAGCTCTCCTTGACTTAGCAAAGGCTGGGCCAGCTTCAGGGAAGAATTTGTGGAGTTGTTATCACGTTTATTAGTGTTGCTACCATTAGTATTATTTATATATATCATTATTACTATCATTATTACTATTATAATAATTATTATTATTATCATTTTTTTTAATTGTTTCTTTTGGGGGGGGGGCGTTGATTCGGATTGATTCCGAAGCCCGACTCTTTTCCGTGGGCCCAACTTCACGCACCCCAAGCCTGAGCCGCCGCTCACACGCTTCCAGACATGTCCCCTTAAGACGTCACCGCGGCCCGTCCAAAAAACGGCCCCAACACCCCAGTGAGCGTTTGCCGGTGGTTGGTTGGTGTTGTGAGGCGATGTTTAAACCACTCAAAAAGTGGAATATATTGGAATATGGCGACCCTTCCCTCAAGATCAAAGCGCCGGAAACGAGCGACAAGGCACAGTGCCGGCAAGCGCCGCACCTTCCCACGGAAACGGCATGGGAAACGCTCATCTTTGCCAACCGAAACTGGTGCAAACAGTGTCTCGCGTGCCACTTGTGGGATTCGCTGGCGCCATCTGGCCTTGACAGTGACGCCAAAGCTGCATCCGAATGTTTGTGGCAAGTTGGCCTCTGAGCTCCCCCCCGCCCTCGCACCCAGAGGATGCATGAATCGAATTCCAGTCACACATATACATATATATATATATATATTTATACATATGGGTTTGTATTTTTTGCGGGGGCCGGGCAGGAAGGTTTGAGTAATGATTCGCAAGTATGATTCGCGGGTATGATTCGGGGTATGATTCGGGGGTAGGATTTGCGGAAGCAGCAGCAGCAGCAGTAGTAGTAGTAGCAGTAGTCGTCGAAGTAGTAGTACTAGTAGTAATATTGTAGTAGTAACAATAGTAGTAGTAGTAGTAGTAGTGGGTATTAGTAGTAGTAGTAGTAGTAGTAGTAGTAGTAGTAGTAGTAGTAGTAGTTAGTAGTTAGTAGTAGTAGTAGTAGTAGTAGTAGTAGTAGTAGTAGTAGCAGTAGTAGTACTAGTAGTAGTAGTAGTAGTAGTAGTAGTAGTAGTGGTAGTAGTAGTAGTAGTAAAGGTTGTAGTCGTAGTAGCAGTAGTAGTGACAAAGGTAGTACTACTACTACTACTTCTACTACTACTACTACTACTACTACTGCTACTACTACTACTACTACTACTACTACTACTACTACTACTACTACTACTACTACTACTACTACTACTACTACTACTACTTACTACTACTACTACTACTACTACTACTACTACTACTACTAGTAGTAGTAGTAGTAGTAGTAGTAGTAGTTAGTAGTAAGGGTAGCAGAAGCAGAAGTAGAAGCAGTAGAGTAGTAGTAGCGGTGGTAGTGGTAGTGGTAGTAATACTCGTAGTCGTGGTAGTAGCAGTAGTAGTAGTAGTAGTGATAGTAATTGGAGAGTAGTAGTAGTAGTAGTAGTAGTAGTAGAAGTAGTAGTAGTAGAAGTAGAAGTAGCAGTAGTAGTAGTAGTAGTAGTGGTGGTACTGGTAGTATTGGGTGGGGTTGTTGTGGAGGCAGTGAACAAAGAACAGTAGCATCTTGCAGCATATGTTTTAAGGGGTATGATTCGGGGGTATGATTCGGGGTATGATTCGGGGGTATGATTCGCGGAGGTCCCACCTTCTGCCTTTTGAAGCAACTCAACACACCAAAAAAGGACAAACCCATATGTATACATATATATATATATAAGGTATGTATATTAGGTGTCGCTTTTGAGGATACCATTCTCAGCTTGGACCACACCGTTTGGAGGTTCCCGCTACTTTTGCCTATTTGGACACATGTTTGCCACCTGCCATTGGCTCCCGTGGCCAAACTAGCTCAATGTCACTGAACACGCCGTTTGATGGCTGTTGGGGGGTCCTGGTAGGAAAATCGCCTTTCAGGCACACCCCGCACCCACGGATCGAGAAGCCATAGCCTACAGCATTTGAACTTTGCGTACAGGATGGGAAGAAGCTCAGCAGGTCTGGGCCATTAAAATGAGGAAAGGGTGTCCGTTCCCTTCCCTTTCCATCAACAAGCCTCAGGTTTCAATCGCGGCAATCCCGCAATGTACACACTTCCCCGGACAACGGCACCAAGGGTATTGGTTCAGAACACCTTGCGAGCACACCGCGCGGGTGTCCAACATGAGCCAACTGAACCCGACATCCAACACGCCAGCGGTTAGCTAGAGCAAGCATTTGCTGGCATATTCCGCGCAGGCGCTGTTGTGCAAAGCCAATCCCAGTGATTCCGTTTACAAAGAAGGAACCCAAGGGAACCACCCTTTAAAAGCCAAAGCACAAAATGGCATGGTTACCTTTTTTGTGGTCACTGGATGTCACTGGGATCCACTGGGGATGTCTTAATCTTGGCTTTGCAGCGTGCGTCTCACTCCAGCTTCTTAGTGCGAGAGGTGCAGTAGTTGTCCCGCAAAGGGCGTAGCACCTTCGAGAACATGTCGATCAGGAAGCAGCCAGCATCTACGATCCTGCCGATCGACCGGATGCAGCGGTAAAACTTGTCCCCCGAATGTGACGCCGCAAGCCGGTCACACCCTAGTTCCTGTAGAATGTCCGTTGTGTTGACACGCCATCAGAGAGGCAGGCCTAGAGAACTTCCATTTAGGGCACCAATCTTGATGTCCACTTCAGATTCTCAGATTCAACAGCTCTCAATTCAACTACTTCAATCAGGGGTGGAAACGGTCGGGAGCCCTCTTACAATTATAATCCTCCGGCCTTAGGTTCAACAAACCACGCACCCACCCTTTCCAAGACCCCAACGGGTCAACAAGATCAATGGGTCTAGTACGTCGTTGAAGGCTCTTTTTTGGGCAATTTGTTGAGCCTGCCCATTGAAAGAACCAAAACCAACGGGGTCCTTTGAGGAAACGCAAGCGGCAAGCGTGACAGCAACAAGGTGAGAGCCTCCCAAGTGCTCAGATTGAAGAATCAACTGTGTCCATTGCCTGGGCAAGTTGCTAACTATCACAAACACACACTCACACACAGATACACACAGATACATAGATGAATGATAGATAGGATAGATAGGATAGATAGGATAGATAGGATAGATAGGATAGATAGGATAGATAGGATAGATAGAAACAAACACCAAATTTGGAATATCCTCAAGATCAGGAAGATCGATCGGTCGCGGGGTGTTCGGTCAACCAAACCAAACCAAGGCGCAGATTCCACGGCAACCACCAAACCCGAGGCCGGCCGGGCGCTACGTTGCTCTTCAGCTCGTAGTCGTCCGCCAAGGCCTCGAACCTCGGAGAAAGCGACTCCCGGCTGTCCGGTTTCAGCGGGGGGTTCCCAGATAACCCTTAATTGGATGACATCTAGTTGGAGCTGCCGGCGCCCACTAAGAGGCACAATCAGATTTCCTCATAGATTTCTCAGATAACCCTTAATTGGTGGCTTGGGATTTGAATTTCTGGCTGTAGAGGGCACATGGGAAACCACCCCTTAACCACTAAACAACCAACCCAAACCACCAATCAGAGGGAAGCTGAATTTCCTCAGACATGTCGAGCCCTCAGTATGCTGCCTACGGTCAACGTTGAAGCCACGCGGGTTTTCATGGATTCAAACAGATTCTGCCCCTTGGCGAATCCGCTGTTTTGCGTCCAAGCCGATGGTGAAACGTGGCGGTGACAAGCACTTGGGCCCAGAGGCTTTTCCATGGCAGGATCTCGGCATCCGAAGAAGGGCGGCGTAGGCAGCCCAGCTTCGAAGGCGAAGTCCGCCAGGAAGGATGCGGTGGATAGGCGCCTGGCAAGCAAACATCTGCATGGGGAGGAATCTGCGGCATTTGGAGGGAATATGTGGGGGAATGGTCGACTTTCCTATTACTATTGGGGGAACCTGCGCAGCTCCCTCAAAACCCCAGACAGGACAAAGACAGACTAACAATATAACCTTGCTCCAGGACGGGCTCGCTTTCCTCTGTGAACTTTCGACATTGAAATTGCTGTGGGCCTTTTTTAATTAACCCACAACGTTTTATCAAACATGGCATATCACTGCACATGCAAAGCAGCCGTGGCTCTTTGGAAGTTCGCATGGAAAACACCAAACAAACTAACTCGAGCACAGTGACAAGCGCAAGAACGCATCCCGCTCAAAGAGCCTACCACAAGTCCGACGATGGAAATCGCGCGTTGCGCCTGGTGTGAGACTCTTTTCGTAGGCGGTCTTGATTGTACAAGCGCTGCGCCATGGCCAACAAACACCTCGGGAAGGTCTCAAGCGGTCAAGGATGTACCCCGCCAATTGACATGGAACCCGACGTTCGGGGTCCTAGTTTGAACCATGTTCCCTTTAAAGGGACTTCCGAACGGCAGGTTCCACGTCGTTTGGTGGGAGGGGTAAGTCTTCCTAGTGAAGCCATTGAAAGTGACAGGTGCTTCCGGAATCCACGAGGACAGGCTGCTAGTCCTGTCCCAGCCAAACAGGATGGTCAAAAGGCAATTCCATGATCTGCAGCCTGGAAGCGTAGTATCCTTGGCATAATCGGTGTCCAAGTCATCAATGCCAGGAGGTGGCGGGCAAGGGGGCCATAGTTCAAGTTGCTGGCACCTGCGCGCAAGGAGGCGAAAGGTGCCACCTGCCTAAACTTGTGATTTGCGGACTGCGATGGGGTTCGCGCCGGTTCAGAGATCAAATATTTACTACTTAGGTCATAAAAGCGTCTCGAGTCTAGGGTGTTTGCAATGCCCGTTAGTGGCGATGCTGCTAGCCTCCGGAAAGCCTATGTCTGAGGAGCCTACATGAGCCAACCATGCATAGCAATAAATAGATAGAAGGGAAATCGAGGTGTCACCCTCATACCTCCTCGCTCAAGCACCGTTTTAAGTGAGGTAACAGATCATGAAGCCTGCAACAAAGACTCATCTCCCTTTGGGAGACCCTCAAAAAACACGTCAACTTCTTGGGCGCCGAACCACAACCCCCCCCCCCCCCGCCTTTTGAAAAGCAAAACACTTCCACGCCAACTTTTATTTCGGGGGCCCAAAACTGGCCTCATCATTTTACCATGATCAAAGTCACCCCCCAAGTGGTGGGTTAAGGGAAACAACCCCAATGACTTTGATATCTCCCAGAAACCATCAAAATACTGACCCCGGCAAAACCCGCCCCAAACCCCAAACCCGTTCGCCAATTCAAACCCGCCGAATCTTGCCCATTCATTCGGCGCCTGGCAGCCATGGAGCTTCGCATGCTCTCGGCCCACAAGATGTTGAAGGCTTTGTTCAGCTCCTCGGACAGGGCCTCGAGCGGTCCATCGCACACCCCAAACGCATCTCTCATCTCTCCCTTTCACCAAAAAAAATCAGCAAATGCAACAGAGAGAGTCTTCCAAAAATATATCGTTGATGACTGGGGTTTATGAAGATGTTGGCAAGTGTTTGGTCGGTCCAGGAGTCCGGGGGTTGAGCAAATGTTGAGAAAGGGCTCTGCGGCTTCACCAATCGAGTTATGTCGTTGCGCCCTCTCTATCAGTCCAGCTCGCCAATCCCACTCACCCCCTTCGGATGCGCACTTGGGGCAAACAAATCACTTGGCATCCTAAGCTCACAAACGCACATCTAACACCAATGCGCGCTAGCACAATCCAACACACACACACACTGACCAACGCACACCAACACAAACCAACACAAACCAACACACACCAACACAAACCAACCCATAATTACACACACACCAACATCAAATATACAGCCTCAGTTTGCCGATGTTACTTGCCGAATCTTGCCGATATGATTCTAGCTGCAAGCGGGTGGCATCGTCTGTGTGACGTTCCACTTTTTCCAGAAACTCCTGGCCGGCGAATCTAGCGAGCAAACATGATATGCATATATATATATATATATGCATCAACTTGCAAGGCGCAATCAACGGCACGCGGCGAAAGCATTCAAGGAAAACAACACTGAGGAACACTCGTCTGGGTGTTGTCCATCAGAGTGGCACATCGCGTGCTGGAGCCAGCAAGAAGATTTGCCGACACACCCTCGTTGCGGTCGGCCAAAAATCAAAGCGGCAATAATGGCAACAAGCAATCAAGTAAACTTAGCCAAATGCCAACGCTGGACTTGCGGAATGCAAACTCAAGTGGGTCTGCTTTGGCACATGCCAAAGGTGCCTGTGCCGGGCAACGGACATACGATGGAGACCGTGTCATGATTTGGGCCAACCTGGGACACTGATGTAGGCCCGTGAGCGCTTTCTTCTTTTGTACATGATTCGAACCAGGAATTAGACCTGGTGTTCTCCTTCAAGTTGCCCTCAAAGGGGGCACTAATATTGAAAAAGGTCTGCCCTTTGACCTCTGCATTTTCTGCATTTGTCCTTTCAGCAGAAATCAAAAATATGCTGTTCTCAAGTTTGCAAGGTATACAGTTAAAAGATTGAGACAAAACCAACAACTGTCAGTCCCAAAGTTTGCAAGCTACACGCTTACAAGTGAAAGGTTGGGAAAACAACAAGAACCAGAGCAACCTTGAGGGATTCTTCCCTTCCGCCCCGTGATCCATGTCCTTTATAAGAGGTGCCGCCTTCACTTTCGCGGCCACTCGCCCCTCCAGAGGCTCGTTTCCTGGCTTCGAAGCTGTCGAAGCCTATTGGACGCAAGCATTGTGCCCAGACGAATGGCTAACGATATTGGACACATCATACACACACACACCGGATTGGCAGAAGTGTGGCATACCCGCCGAAACACAAGGTTCTGTAGCTACAGTGCTTGTTTTGAGGCATGGCAGTTGCCACGCACTCTTCGACCGGACCGCCGGACCGCGCCTTCGGGCAAGTCACTGAAGGAAGCTTTTCGAAAACGGCAGCCACTGCAACGCGCATAGTCTCCACTTGCAGCCAGCAGCCTCGATATGCGTCTGCACCGGGTCTTCAAGTGATACCCTCAAACTGCGGTCCTCTAAATGGTGGCTTAAAGGAAAGCCCCCACAAGTATTATTCGCGGCACGCTATAAGCCAAGTGGCGCAGCAAAGTGTGGGAAGGCTTCTGTGTCCAGAAAAGGCTCGGCCTCTTGGCTCACTTCATCTTCCATCGCGCCCAAGCCAAGCATTGTCAATCGGAGAGGCCAAGCTTTCTCGATTCAGGCCGAAGACGTTGAGCTTGGTGAATTGCAAGCCTTGAAGGGTACAGCTCCCATTGTTCTGCAGCCGCAAGCTGCGGGAACCAACAACGAAGCACAAAGCAATCTTGACATCTCTGGAGACTTAAGTATGGTCCTTGGTAATGTATGTTTCTCGGCCTCTCTGCAACCTTGGGCTCTCCTTCAAGAGTGCCGACTTGCCCTTGGCAGGGCTTGTCAAACAGATCAACTCATCACTGTTAGCCTGCCATCGATTGCAAAATCCAAAGCAAGTTTGAATCTGGAATGTGGGGCTCATGTAATTACACAGAAAATGATTGGTCGCATGTTTCTGTTCCCTGCACAACCTCTTCTGGTCATATCCGCAAAGCTCAATGGTATAGGTGCTTAGGCGCTGAGTTGCAAGAAGACATGGAGCTGGTCAAGAGTCCTACATCCGGAAACGCTCGATTAAAGTTACCTTTGCAAAACTGCTGAGGCATGTCCGGCCTGCGACTGCTGAGGGCTTCTCTACGTGCAGAACGAGTGATGCCCAATGTTTTAAACGAAGCAGATACGGTATGAGGTGGTTACTATCCATTTCTATGTTTGTCAGTAAAGGACCCTCTCTCTGTCTCTCGCTGTCTCTCTCTGGCATGGCTCTTTGACTGGAAATCGTAGTGCCTAGGGCACAATGATTTTGCATGGTGACACCTGCAACGTTCGCTTCAAAAGCTCACTTGCAGCGAGACATCGAGCGGTACCTTCGCTTCAACTCTTCCGGGCAATCAATCCGAGAAAACACAAAGTTCTTGTTGGGAACCGACACGTCATGCGGAATGCTGTCCGGGTACTCGGAGAAATCCAGATGGTTCAAGGACCCGTAGGCATTGTGTTGACCAGCTCTAGCTGGGCACCAGTCTTTATTGTGTTTATGTGGGCAGTAGTCACCCACTACAAGCAGGACCTCCTCTGACGCGAAGGGGCATGCGCTTTGAAGATCCTCTTCGGCGTTCGTCTCGCTCCGCATCTCTGCGAGGCGCAAGGGTTTGCCGTGGGTGCCATAGGCAGAGCACAAGAATCGCCCCTTTGCACATGAGAGGCAGCCCATGCCAGCTGTGCCCTCACCACCGCCCGGCTTTCCGCACCAACAGCCATCATGATTGCAGTCCTTCCACATGGCCTGAGTAGATGCGACGTTGTGGAACCGAGTGCCAGCCGTCAACTTTTTGGTATCGATCCCCCCGCAGGCTGCATGGGGGGCCTCGCCATACTGCGTGGTGGTGGCCCAGTGGTGGTAGCCATAGAGAGGGAAAGAGGAGTTGGTGTTAACGAACACTCCTTCCTCGTCAATAGCACTTTCCATTTCCTGTTCTGCCACTTTCTCGATTGCACTGTTTAGCTGAAGAGCATTCAAGGAGCAGTCGGCCGTGCCTGCACATTCATTGTCTTCTTGTAGAGCTCTTTCATCAGCCGTGCACAAGACGAAAACGCTTAGAATCCAGATCATGGCCAGAGGTTGTGCACGATCCGGGGAAAAAGGAGAGCTCAAAGGGGACTTGAGCCAACTATGCGAGTCGAGCTTGATCGTGCAAGCGTGCAAGCGTCCTTCCCGTTTGCACGCAGCAAGCCGGCTGCCTGTGTGAGCACAGCTGCTGGCTTATGTAGTGTATCGTAATAGGGCTTCGCGGCAGTTCGTGGCATTCCATGTTCTCCCCTTAACACGGTGGCTACCCACTTGGCGAATCTCCCAGATCGGTTCTTGCCTCGTTCCAAGACTTGACTACCTCTCACTTAGCCAAACATGCCAAAAACACTAAGCGCTTGGGACTGCCCGCCCCATCCAAAGACCCCCTAAGCACCTTGGGACTCCCAGCCCAGCTTTGGCCGCTTTCTCACGCGGACATGTCCGAATTCCCCCAGCGCTTTGCTCGACGCGGCTCAGGTGCGGCGCATGGCCGGGCGCTTCAGCACCGCTTGCAGCGAGGCCGTCCGCTTCGGGGACGCGGCCGCCGGCTTTGGCCTGAGCCAAAGCGACTCCGCGAAGCGGAGGCGATGGATTTACTCCGCGGGAGGCTCACGGGATGGGATCCATCCATGGCAATTGCTGTGGTTTGTCTCCTGATTTTGTCCTTCTTCTTTTTTTCCTTGTTTTCTTCTTCATTTTTTCCTTTGTGTTTTTTCTTCTTTTTTTTAAACCGAACCCCGTCCCTTTTTTCAAGGGAAATAAAGCCCGGACAGCGGACGCCTGTCGCCCCCATTCTTTTTGAACCAAGTTTGGCTTTCGGTTTGTTCAACGAGGCAATCCAAAAGCTTAAATTTCAGCTGACACCTCTGAGGTGCGAGCGTCGAATCTGGCAAGGCAGCGCTCGGGGCGCCAGGGCTGGGCTTGTCCCAGCCGTTCTTTTCCTGAGGATGAGGCCAACCAAAAAGGCCCACAACATAACATGGGACGACATGGACTCTCCCCTAAAAGGACATGCCCAAAGGGAACTTATGCCAAAAGTGGTGAACTTCTCTTCCTGGACAGTTTGTTCAGAAAGAAAACCCAAAACAGCCAAACACAACACAGAAGCAGACTTTCTTCCTGATTCTAGCCAACCTTCAAAGGTTCGAAGGTCCGGCCGTGGATGCGTCCTCGCACAGGCAAGCTGAGAAATCGTGTCTCGACTCTTTGGGCAATGAATAGTCAATGGGAAGTTTATGCCACTTTCTGAAGTTTTGAATCTTAGTGAAATTAAACTAAACAAATGTTTCAAACGAGATCCTAATAAATGAGGCCACCGGGGTTTCCCAAATAGGTGTGTTTTCACCTGGGGCGTTAGCTTCCAAAAGGAAGCCGAGCAGCGGCCGCTTTCCTGAATGCCTCCAGCTTTGCTGCTGGGATCTCGCCTCGGATACGCCGTCTGGACCATGGGCCCAAGGGACAAGGGTGCCTTGGACCAAAATGCTTGGCTCCGGACAGGAGGCAGTTGGAGGACTATCTTCCTTTTGGGAAGCTTTGGTCCATTTCCGTGATTGTTGGAAGTAGGCTGCAGCTGCCCGTATTGATTCAACAGCTTATTATATTGGTTCCTTGCACGCGGGTCCATGGTCCCGTTGTCAAAAGCAAACTTGCCCACGCCACTTTCTGATCTTGTTTCCACTCCCTCTGAAAGGGTACCGAATGTGAAAACCAAATGAGAAACAGGCGTGATAGTGGACCCCTTGTGAGGGAAGCACAAACTATTGCCCCCCCCAAGTTCAATAGCTGTTGAAGATCACATGACTCCCCCCCGCAGAAAACAGGAAAAAGCAGCCAAGGGCACCCTTTAAAGTTTGGTATGGCCATGTCCAATTTGTTGGCCCCCAGCCAACAGTCCTGACAGTTGTCCTTTGCACACAGAAGGCATGAATAAGTATGGGCAGCGTCCCTTTGGGGTCATGCCCCCGCGTGCAGCCCAGCCAAAGCAGGGAAGGCGCACCACCACCCAAAGGTACAAACGCTACAAAGCAACGGGTTTATTCACCAATTTACCCTGCGAGTAGTGGTTTGGGGGCTAGTGCCAACCAATTTGCAAGGTCCTGGACAACTCGTGGGCGACTATGCAGTCCCCATGTTGGTGGGCATCCTTTATACCTGACACTGCATTGATCAGTCTGCACTATGTGAGCCCAGTTGCCCAGCGATCCCGTTCCCAATGGGTTTTCCTTTGGTCCAAGCCGAAATGGAACCGGGCTCCGAATCCTACCTCCGATCAGTCCGGAAGATGCTGCCCAAAAGGCCATCGACGAAGCCATGGCATGGCACCCCCTTGTGCTTCGACGCATCCTCAGCCCAAACATGGGAACAAAGGCACCTCTTCGTCGCTTTGGAGGGAAACCTTTGGATTGGCGGAATTTGGCGAAAACCCAGTCGGTGGATTTTTGCGGGTAACCTGATTTTAGAGGAACCCTTCCAAAGAGAGAACAACAACAACAAAAAAAACAAAACAAGTTGCTTGATTTTAGAGGGAACCTTTCCAACATACACAAAAGCAACAGAAAGGAGAGAAAGATGCCGTGCTGGTCTGGGCATCTGTCACGTGTTGCTTGCAGAGTCCGCCCTCTTCCGCTGGCTTCTGGCACCTGGAGGCAACGTGTCCAAGTGCGTCCATAGCAGGCTTGGATCTCATGGATTGAATGCCTTCCTTTGTAGTAAGCACTTTCAATCGCAATCTCAAAGGAGGTCCAAACGTTGGGACTCGTGCATAAAGTTTGAGCTTGTGTTGCTTAGCGGGAACTCATCCCTTGAGTGCAAAGGTTCTCAGGTCCAGCAACCGATGCCCAAAGTGGAGGGGTGGGAACCACGGAAATTCGTGAGCCCAGCTTCCAGAGAAGAAAGCACCCAATCAAATGAACCATATTTGCAACAAAATCATTCAACCCGAGAGTACTCTGGACAAAGTTCAGCGTCCCCAGCTTGACCATGGCCATCTTCAAACATGCAAAGGATGGTTGTTTTTTTTGCCTGGGCATCCCATTCAAACGATTGCTGTTTTCCAGCTGGGCATCCTTGCAAAGGATTGCTGTTGAAAGCCCAATCACAGTTAGAAGCCACCCATGGCCTGATTGTTTCAACCCAAGCCCAGGTCGAATGGCATTTCCTGAGAACTGATGCCCTCTGAGAATGAACCAGTTGAAAAGGCTTGGAGCGATTCTGGAGTGTCTTTTCTTAGGTAACCCCCCCAAAAAATGGCGGGCGTTTCCCTGCAACTCACTTCTCGAGTGGATTGGCCAAAAAAAGTCTGAACTCGTTCACCACCAAATGGTCCAAACCCAACAAGTTCCAAGTCCAGGGACTCGGGGACTGAGTGCCAAAGCCAGCAAAAAACGCAAAACGGGAATGAGCCTCAAACACCGACCACACCGACCCGCCCATGGTCTTTTCTTAACCCCGGCCGCCCAAAATGGTGGGTGTTTCCCTGAAGGCACCAAGGGGGTACCCGGGTACCCGCCGGGTACCCTCAAACACCGACCCGCCCATCCCTCGTCCGCGGCGCTGGCCGCCCTTTCCTTCCGCCCACACCCGCGCCAGGCAGCGGCTCGGATCGCCATCGCCGCGAGATCCATCGCCGCGGACTGGGGTCCGGGAGCCACTCCTGCGGACTGGGGTCCGTTTTCGGATCGGCCAAACGTTGGAGACTTTGAGTGCCTATGGAAACCTAACCACCAAACCAACGAAAAACCGATCGGTATGGAAATGGTGTACCCCAGGGTTGATTCTGGCTTTGCTGGAAACAAAAGGTTTATCCCACCCTCCCAACCACTGCTTGGACAGTAACAAGGGGAATTGGGGAAACCAAGCAAGAGGTCGGTTTCTGGGCAAATGAGTCAGGGGCCCCTTGGTGGACGACATCTACATTGGGATTAATGTCCACCCACTGCTTGTGAGGCTGTGCAAATCTGTGATGTCAACCATGGGAAACGGATCCCTTTTGATGCGTCCTACTGCTACTGGTGATTCATTTGACTTGTTTCAAACTGAAACAAACAGCCAAGGAGAGTCCCGCATCTTCGGGGATTCCCTGCTTCAGGAACTGTAGAAACTGCAGCCAAAAAAAACCTGTGCAGTACCATGTGGCAAGATTCACAAATGCCAAGTCACGTGACATTCCTTCCTAGCTCTCTCTGCCCGAAATCAGATGGGTAAGAGCCGGTAAGATATCGAGGCGGCGTTTCCAAAAGCAGAGAAACCTACAATTCGTGTTCATGCGTGTGTGCATATGCATATTAGTGCGTGTTTCTTGCTTCCATGCCAGCAAAACACCGTGCAAACAGTGTCCAAGCAATGTTTGGTTGCCCATGCTTCTGCCCAACCGCCCCGGCCGATCTTCCTCGCGCCTCGGGCTTGCTGCAGCCGGCGTCCGCGGCGTCCGCTGCGGCGTCCGCTGCGGCGCCTGTGGGCTCCTGGCCGCGAGTTGCGGTTGTCAAATGTTTCATCTTTCGGAGCATCTCAGAACCGCTGTTGCCACATGCAGGGCAAACAGGCCATCTCCAGTCATTGGATGGCACTTTTCTTTTGGCTGGCGGGAGATGGTAGCGCCCAACCTCGCCCTTGGAGCGCCTTGAAGTGACGAAATCGCAAGCACCCAGCTAAGGCTCCTCCGCTCTCTGGCTTTGGGCGAGGGGCTGCGCGGCGGGCTTCTCAAAGGTGAGCCTTAGCTGCCAGCTTTGAAGCGGCAGGGCGCCTAGACCCAAAGAAGGTGTCAGGGCTGCTGATTCTACCTTAAGGGTGTGGTTCTGATGACGGTATGAAGTTGCAACTGCTGATGCTATCAAACATCTGCAGTGTATCCTTGATCGGGCCACCGATCTGTCTGTCACTCTTGTCGAGCACACGCCCTCCAAACAAAAAGCTGTGCTACTTGCAAGCAAGACTCAAGGAACGATTCACCCGACCAGCCAAGCAAATTACCAACCAAACTACCAACCGCAAGACTCCCCCAACCAACCGCAAGACTCCCCCCACCCAAAGCCACCCCCCCAAATCATAAGGCAGTCCCTGTCTTGCTGAGCATATTCGGGGCCAAGCTGGGGGCTCAAATGAGGCATTGCGCCCACAGCAGGGCTCAGCAATTAGGGACAGAAGCTGTAGTGAGGCCGGATTACGCCGTTTTGGCTTAACTAAGCCTAAAATGGCCTTAACTGTTTTTTTTTTGGGGGGGAGTGTTCTAAGCTGAGAGGGGTCGCTTAGAACGCACCCCCCCCCCCAAAGTTAAGGCAGGTTAAACGTAATTGAGCCTTAGAGCTCGGATTGCCTGGAATTGGCGTCAATTGATTGAATCTTTTCCTTCACCTGCAAGGTCTGACTACCCTCAAAACCAGCGCATGTCACAGTTGCCAGGCCTGGGCAGGCTCAACAAAGCTTAATTAAGCTTAATTAAGCCTAATTAAGCAACATTCAAATTTGCTTACCTAGGCTTAATTAAGCTTAATTAGGCTCAACTAGCCTCAATTCGGTCCAACTACTTTTGCCAGCCCCAACATGATCTTAACTTCTTGGGGGGGGGGGAGTGTAGGGGGGGGGGGGGGAGTTTTGCACTTGGTGAAAACTACCTCCCCACCCAGCTACCTGCCATCTACTTGAAGGGGCAGGGTACTCAGTAAGTTGGTAACAACCCACTTGCCAAGGTTATAAGTCTCGTAAACTTACTAACCACTTACTAGGTACCACCCGATCGCCCCTTTAGGTACACATATTCGTGCGTCCAAGCTGCCGCTTTTCTCCGCCTGCTTTTCAAACTCCCGCAACTTTTCCTCGGCTCAACCAGTTGAGCAGTGGTGGCAAAAAGGAACCCAATTTGAGGGGTCAACTAAAACGGGGAACCCACCAAGCCAAAAGGGAGAACGGGGCCTGGTAAAGAACTGCGTTCTGAGAATGACATGTGCCTGTGAGGAAGCCAAGGAGAGCACGACTCTGCCACTTGGAAGGAATCTGGACCCATGTTGACTCGAAAGCAGAAGGCAACCAACTGTTGGGGCGGGATTCTTGCTCATTTCGAGATGCTCATCGTGTTAGATGGTCCTGCGGGAGACGGTGTAACAAAGGGCGAATAACGAAATGACCGCGTCCGATTCGTTGCCATTTGGGTGCTTCCAAACATTCGACACGAACTGGTAGGCGTTCTTTTGATTTCCCCTGGCGACCTTTCAGAGAAACACTCCCCAAATGTCCTTTTCTTCCCCACCAAAGGGCTTTTTGCCCCTCCCCTTCCACTCAGGTTCGGAAAGCCCCCAAACTTCATGGCCGGCGAAGGGTTGGCCAGGAGTCCGCAGGGATGGGCCCATCCACCCTGCCGTGCGGGAGCCCCTCCGCAGCTTCACGCTCCGCGTGGACCTTGCAGAGCCCAAGGCTGGACGGCAGCATGGGGCACTGACCCCCGAGCCCGCCCTTCCAGACCTCGGGAGCTCTCAACGGGTCGGCGACGGAAGTGGTTAAGCCGGGTCATAATCCACCTAGAAGACGTATATATCCATGGCAAGTGGTCCATGCTTATTACCCACGTACCCCTGCCCCAAATAGAGCTTTGCAGGCGATGGCCAGGTGGACGGAAAGTGCCGCGACGGTCACAATACACAACTGACCCTGACTGAGGGAAAACCGAAAACACCCCAATGTCTCCCTTGGCGAGGGCAGGTCGCAAAACCTGCTCGGGCAAGAACAATGGTTCTGGCACCCCAGAGATGAATCTCCCCGTGGTTTCGTTTGATTGACAGTAAGGCGAGTATGTTGAAGGAAATCGCTGTCTAGTACCTGTGATTGTGCAGCCCGGGGAGACAGGTCCCAAACAACATCAGCACGTTGAGGGTTGGTATTTGACAGAGTAGGTGCAAAGGCAGGCCACATCACTGCTGGGCAAACAAGGCCGGCATACATAGCTCTAAACCGTCACAAAATCACGTGAAACATGGAAACGCGTCCGAGACGACTGGCAGGAACCATGTCAATGCGTCGATTGTATGTGTAATCACTTCGGTCAACCTTTGCTCAGTGTGACCATATGTGACCATCTGCAACTGCTTGACATGTCCTCATTTCGGCCACCGCAGTGAGCATCGGGCATAGCTGGGTGCCCTAGGTGTGCCCCCCCTTCCCCCCCCCCGCAAACCAAAAAGAGTAGTATAACATCCCATTGCCACAAGCTCAAGGCAGATGCTAAGAAGCCCGCCCTGGCCATACAAAAGGAGCTGGAGACTGCCGGGGTGAAGCGCTTAGAGCGCTCATCGATTGGCATGGCGCCGAAAAAGGATACCAAGCTTGTGCAAGGTCGCACAGGTGGACGGGCGAAACTGCCGTTTTGCTGCTTGCAACAAGTCATGTAGCTGCTCTCTGGCCTTGGAAGCTTGTCTGGCTTGACTGTTCAGCAAGTGCAAGTCTCTTTTGATGTGGAGGTGAAGCGTCGCACGTGGCCGAGGCCTTCATGAAGCATGTGAGAGGTGGTGTGGACGAGGGCTCTGGCTAAGACAAAACACATGTACATAGTTCATTTTGCTCACCTCAACACCCCAACATGTCAGCGCCCTGTGCATCCAAATCAATCGCTGCACATGAGCAATTGGCAATCGCACTCTCATATGCATCGGCAAAGAACCATGGATTCGTATACTGGTTAAAAAATGAAGGCCTGAGAACTATCACAATCCTAGCCTGGTGGATCCTGGTGGTTTCAACGCAGTACGGGCTTGTTTGGCACCCGCTTACAAACTCCTCCTAGCACTCCCCACTTTCCCCCCCGGCCCCCGCCAGCCACGATGGCTCATGCGCCAGACTTTTTGGGCCGCGCTCAATGTAGCTGCGAAAGAGCCTCCACATCTTGTAGAAGCTCCTCCAAGCATTGTGGAACAACACAGAAACGTCCTACGTGACGCGAAAAACTGTTGACTTCTTAGACACGCCAAATTGACCTTACAACTGGGAGGAAGGAAAGCAGGAAAGCAATGGAACGAAGCAACCAAGGGAAAAATAAGTAAACGAAAGAAGGACATGAACAAAAAAACAAATAACAACAGGACGAGGACCGAAGGAACATAGGAAGTAAGGAAAGAAGACAACTAGTAAAGAAGGCAAGACGATGACAGACGGAAAGTCGGACATGATGAATGAAACAAAAAGCAACGAAACGAAGGAACCACGAAAGGAAGGAAGGTCAGAAGAAACAAGAGAAAAACAGAAAGACGGAAAGGGAAAGGAGGGAAAAAGAAATGAATAAGAGAAGAACATAAGGAGAGAGGCAAGAAATAATAAGGAAAGAAGGAGTTGAAAGGAAAGAAGCAGAGGAGAACAAAACTAAATCATGACACAAGCGAAAAATGACAAAGGAATTACTAAGCGAAACGACATCACATCACTGGACATGGCATGATAATGATTAGGCGGAAACAATAATATTGATAAAACAACAAGCGAGTAAAGGGACAATCAAACAAGGGCATGACTTTTCAGAGGCACGAGACACTGATTCGATCTGATTCGCACCTTCCCCTTTATGAGATACAGGTGATTCCGCAAACCTCCCCTGTTGCCCGATTTGAGCTTCCTTTGGTTTGGCTTGTGGGGGGGGGGGGGTGGTGGTGTGTTTGAAGATTCTGACCAAGGCACACATGGTTTGGGTGGTTTGATTGTGCTGGGAAACAACGGCAACCGCGATCCTTCACGACGTTTGTTCAAGGGGAACACTTACAAACACACCACCAACACCACCCCCCCCCCCCGCCCCAGCCAAACCAAAAGAAGCTCAAATCGGCGAACAGTGGGTGTCTGGTTTCTGGGCCATCGCCTCCCGCCGGTCCTCGAGCGCATTCACACCCAGCTTCTCCTCCAGTGGTGCCACCAGCGCCTAGCCAAGAGAACCTGGGCCTGTGGGACCCAAGCCAAGCAGTTGTTGCAACCCGCAAAATCACAGGGTCACTCTGATCCCCCCCAAAAGATAGCCCCCAAACCTACAAGCGCTTATGAGCAGTAAACTGCACATTTGAGCAGTTTAAACATAACTAAAACTGTTCAAACAAATATTTCTGTTTGAAGGATCGCACCATATCAAAAAGGTGCTCAGCAGGCCTCTTGACCGGGAACCTGGTCCAAACAAGTCCAAAGCAGGGTTTTGCTCTGGGCCCAACTTGTGAGCGGGTTTACAACGGTGGCAAGTGGGTAAGATATAACCTTCCATTTGCTTAAGCCCCCTGCAAAAAACAAAAATGCCAGTAGTGATAGATTCCCTCCAAAAACCAACAAGAGAAAAAAACTAATCTTAAGCAAATGGATGTGCCCAGGGTGTCCATACAAAGTTAAGTACCCCCTGCCCCGAGGATTTTCTTAGAGCAAGCGAAGACCAATCTCAAGCTGGACCCTGCCTCCTGCTTCTCCCGCGGCATATCCAGAAACTGCTCCACGAGGTCTCCGTCGATGAACCCTTCGTGCGCTGCCTTCTTGTCCCCCTAGCGAGAAAAAATCGGGTGGAGGGATTCATGGGTCTTCCAAGTTGCTTGTAACCCCAAAAAGAGCTCTACCCCAATTCGGGGAGTCCAGTCATGAGGTTTTCTCTTGAATTCCTGCTGATCTGCAGGGGTTTGGTCATGAATCGGGGCATCAGCTGTTGCCATTGCTTGGGGGTATGCAGTTCACTCAACTGAGGCAACCAGTGCAGTCCAGGGTGACATTGCGCCTTGCTCGCAGGGACCGAAGAGCTCAAATGCGAGGCAACAGACCAATCCGAATGCCTTGGTTCCTGTTTGCACGAAAAGGCAAAACGAGGCCCTCAAAAATCAGAATGGAATTCTTTGGCTGAAAGCTTGCTCTTTTCAACCAACAACACAAAAAGGGATACCCTCCGAAAAGCTAACATGGAAGTGCACAGACCCCTGTAGAAAGCCTACTTTCCTCTTGGAAAGGGCCTTTTTCCACTTCCATGTTAGTTAGTGGGAGGGTATCATTGGTGTAAATCTAGGTTTTCCAGTAGAGAGGTTAGAATAAGGGTACCAACTTTTTTTCTGTAGTCTATTTTAGTAGGGGAACCCTCCCAACCAAAAAAAGGGTTGAGAAAGGGCACCTAGCTGGGGGACCTAGAAAAAGTGCAAAACGCCGCCTGGAGGTCCAAGCGGGCGTTGCGCCAGTCCTCGTGCGGCAGCATGGGCTTCAGCTCTCGGCCAAGGGCGTCCTGAGCGCAGTCAACGCCGTTTCGAGGATTCCAAGGAGGCGGACAGGGTGAAGGCACAACTCTCTAAGGTTTCAGCTTAGGTTTTTTGGGGTTTTGAGTCAAGACGGGGGGTTGAGAAGGCCTTGGGCTTTGCGACATCGCGGTTTAGGGGGTGATTGCCTTTGTTTCAACCATCGCTCTTTTCAAAAACCTGCCGTTTTGGCTGGGTTTCTGGAGGCTTTCTGGAAAGAAGGATCCCCGGAAAGAATGGGGAAGGTACCGTAGAAACTCCCCCTTGCGGTAAGAGGGCGTGGAAGTCGGTGAAAGTCGATGACAAAAAAACTCCCCTTGATGTAGCAAAGGGATGAGCAAGATCATGTCCATGCCACCAAAGGTGCGGATCTTTCGGGTGAATTCATCGCGCAGAAGAGAGCAACTTCACCAGGGCAAAGGACACCACACCAATCATAGGTGTCCTTTTAGGGGAAATAGATGGCCCTGGTACATGATCAAGGTAAACCAGGGCCATCTATTTCTCTACCGAAACAACCAAACAGGACACCAATGACACCAACGCTCCGCTTGATGAGGCTCGGAGCAACCGTGACCCTGGTTCTGGAAAGTGGGCCACTTTCGTACCAACGTCACTTCTAGTCCCATGGCCGCAGCACTGGGCATTTGCCGCCCACAAACAACTATATGTGTGCATATGTGTTAATAATATTATATAATATGTGTACATATACACATCGAGATAGATATTGTCTACATTTGGCAGATTCCATTCTGGTGGGGGGACGGTTGACCCTTTCTGTTATACATGGATTCCCAACCCTGCCGAACACGCAACCTGACCGGGTCAAACGTACCAAGCACCCCACAAACCGTCCCCCCTCCCGGCCTCAATTTCCTGAAATGAAGCCGCAAATAACCTTGCTTTCACGGGCCCAAACACCCTCAACTTTTGCCCGAGGCTTGTTTCGGCCTTCTTGGCTTCCGAAAGCAAGTTTGTGAGTTCAGTGAGCATGATCCACAGCTGGCTGACGATTAGATCACTGGAGGGGAACGAAGGCATCGCGACGCGGACCCGATGTTTGTGCTATCAGAACTTCCTATGGCTGTTGGGTCCATCGCTTTGTTTGGCTTGGTGCGTTCCCCGCACGGACCCACAAGTGTTATGACAGATTTTGCGGACGAAGGCCTTTCAAGCCGGCATCTTGTCAAAGCTGGACGCATTGTCTGCTGGATGGGCTCACGTCTAGCATGTCCATCTGGAATGAGTGGTGGGTCCAAGTCCAGTCGGCACGCACGCAATCGTGATAAGTGTGGATTGTTGGAAACTTACTGGCACGGATTCCGGGAGCTAATTGGCTATAAGCATCATCGATTTGTGTCATGTTCGGTGCGGCCGCTGCAAGGATTCCAGTTGCGCAATGCGGGCCCTTCCAGCTACAAGTACCCACAGCCCCCGTGGTTTGCCGGCACCCCCTAATCCACCCTTGTCCAGCACGTGGTTCAAGTATGGCACCCTTTACTACTCAAGTAGCACAACTCCTGCAGCCATACCTGACACGTGGTGACCTGCGTTCTCTTCAGAACGTGGGGCCGTGGTACCACGAGGCGTGGGTAGCAGGCAGGTCTGCGGGTTTTTAGGGGTTAGGTTTAGGGTGGAGGGTTTAGGTGTAGGGTTTTTAGGGCTTAGGTTTCTGCAAGCAGGTTTGGGTCTTTTTAGGGTTTCGGTTTAGGGTTTTAGGGTTTAGGTTTAGGGTTAGGGTTTTTAGGGCTTGGGTTTAGGGTTAGGCTTAGGGTTTTAGGGTTGAGGTTTAGGGTTTTTAGGGTTTAGATTTATGGTTTTTAGGGTTTAGGTTTAGGGTTTTTGTGTCGGGGCTTTGGTTCGGGGCGCAGGCAAACCTCAGGGGCTGACCGTACAAGTAGCATATCCCGAAGGATTGGTGCTTTGACAGTTCTGAGTCCTGAGCGTTAGGCGTTTTGCCTTTGCAAAGGCCAATCACATTTGGAATAGTTCGCACGGAATGGGCAGTGGCCAAAGCCCCTGACACGTCTACACGTTGTTCCCGCACGTTCGCCCGAGCCGTCGATCCGCCCGCAGCCTGCAGCAGCAGTAGCCGCGCAAAGCGCTTCTCACAGGGAATTGGCAGAACAAGTCCAAAGGCGCCAGAAGCACTTGCCTTGGTCAGGCGAAGCGCGGAAACTTGAGAAGCAGCTAAACGAAAGCTAGCCATCCCAAAGACATGTACGACCCAGCCTTTGCCAACATATCAAGCACATGATAGGGAATGGGCGATATGTGCATCACTTGCGATTTCGTTCAACAAAAACATGCGTTACTTAGCACCCAGGAGTTTCACCACAAGCAGTGCAGCACAGCAACTTCCCGCTGCAAGGTCTTCAGCTTCCCGGGCACTGCCGAAAGCAACAGTCTCTTAACCGTAGACCCGCCCAAAGGGCAAGGGTCCCCAAAAGTGAACCTGTTCAGCAGTTCTCGAAACTACTGTTGCTGTGGTGGTGTCCCTTTAAACCACAACTTGAGAGCTCCTTTTGAGGATATCACCTGCTCGAGTGGCTTGGCAAAAGAAAAGTCAAAACTGCTTGTTTCCCACTAAATTGACCTTCCCATAAAGTAGTTCAAAAGTCCAGGAATTCGGGAAGTGAGGATATGGCCATGGGTCAAAAGCCCGTACCGCCAGTGAACATCCCAATCCCCACTAAAATAGGTTCTAAACCAACCAAAATGGGATCCCATTGGTTTTGACAACCACAGCCATATCACCTTCCTCGACTCTCTGAACCAGGGTGCCCAAATGGTCGTGTCCACCATCTGGTTCGCCTGCAGGCCCAGCACTCCCTTTCGGAAGCGATTCCTCGGTGATCTTTGGGATGCCTCTTGGAAGGGCTGGGGGGTAGGTAGGTTGGTGGGTTGGTAGGTTGATAGGTTGATAGGTAGGTAGGTTGGTGGGTTGGAAGGTTGATAGGTAGATAGGTAGGTAGGTTGGTGGGTTGGTAGGTTGATAGGTAGATAGGTTGGTAGGTTGGTGGGTTGGTATACGTAGGTTGATAGGTAGATAGGTAGATAGGTAGGTAGGTTGGTGGGTTGGTAGGTTGATAGGTAGATAGGTATGTAGGTTGGTGGGTTGGTAGGTTGATAGGTAGGTAGGTTGAGAGGTTGATAGGTAGGTAGGTTGGTGGGTTGGTAGGTTGATAGGTAGGTGGGTTGGTAGGTTGGTGGGTTGGTAGGTTGATAGGTAGGTAGGTTGATAGTTATGTTGATAGGTTGATAGGTAGGTAGGTTGGTGGGTTGATAGGTAGACAGGTAGGTGGGTTGGTAGGTTGATAGGTTGGTAGGGAGCTTGGTAAATGGGTGGTACAAAAGCTGCGCATTTTCGGGCTACAACCTTCAGCGCAGGACTCGGGAACCCTTGAAGTATCATCCCGTGTTCCGCTGGAAAGGTCACATTGGCCCACTGGACCAGGAGGCCCTGAGCTTCACATTCTCTCCACATAGACGTGGTGGAAGGGACCGCTGGCTGGCACGGTTTCACCGGCGCAATTTCCATCACCATTGCGCAAGTAACCCCCCGTCCCCACCCCCCCAACTTTCTTCTGGTGAATATGGGCATTTGGAGCGGCAGCGCCCCGCGTGCCCCATTGCGAGCACAAAACCAACGTCTTGCAGAAAAGCTCAGCAAAGGGTATCCAGGAGAAATACCTTCTTTGCATTTCATTGGTTTGCAGTCCAAATGAGTCCAAAAAGTCGCAAAATTGGGGGGCCATACAATATCAATAAAAAACTGACACCAACCATTCGTAGGAATCCCAATTTCCGGCCACCCCGATTCACTTTTTCTATGCAAAAGCCAGGCAGCACCAACTCGCCCGAGTGAATGCATCCCACCTGAGTCGCAGTTCCAACACTGCAACACGCGACCAGCTGATCAGTTGCATGTCTCTACGCTGGGATATGTTACGCAATCCATGTGAGTGAACACTTGTTGGACTTGCCTGCGAGGCTTTCCACTGGAACAATATTGCAACACCTCAAGTGCACAAAGGGTGGACATTGTTTGATGGGTATGATGCCAAAAGTAAATCACCACTTGGGCGACCAACCTTGACTAAGCCATATCAAGAGATGGATGGTTTTGCCATTCTAGAGAGAGAAAGAGAGAGAAAGAGAGAAAGAGAGAGAGAGAGAGAGAAAGAGAGGAGCCTCTGCGCCGGAAGGCAGGGCCGTGCCCAAGGCGCCTAAGGTTTTGCCAATTGAATCTTCGGCCGCTTGATTCCATTGCGCGAAAGCAGTCTCCGACATGTTTTTTCTACTTAGCACTTGGGGTTGGCTAAGAGTGATTTAGGGCGGGCTTAGGATTGCACTAGGCTGCAATATGTATAACTATACTCTGACTACACATCTTATTATATAGTGGTTTTCTCAACACGTTTGAAGTCCAGGGACTCAGGAACTGAGTCTTCCCGAGTCTTCCCAAGGTGTCTGACGTCTGTGCGTGCTTGCGGAAGGCAACCATTTGCTGAGCGGAACTTGCCCAAAGCATATCTTTGGGTAGCTATTATTGGTGTCCAAGAGTTCCAAGCGGAGAAGTTCCACCAAAATGCGTCATGTTTAGGGGTTTTCTAAAATTGGAGACCCAAGAAAAAAAGGATGGCTTGGTTTTCAAGGCAAACCGGAAGCCAACCACATCGCAAGGTTCCCACAGCAGCCTTGCACTCAATCTGGGCAATAGCACGGCTAGCCATGGCAACTATGGCCCTAACTCTGAACAGCCCCTAGTCGCCCACAGTTGTTCATAGTTGCCATTCGGCTATGGCTTCCCTTCTTCAGGACAGCTGGGGCCAAACGAGCTGACCCAAAATGAAGGTTCTCTGGAGCTTCTTCTTGCCGGTTGGCGAATTTCGGTGGGAAGAGTGCGTGGAAACACCCCCGTGCCAGGGCCAAGTGCCCAGGCACAACCGAACCGGTTTTGCCTTCCCTTTCACCAACCTACATTCCAACGAAATCACCATTTCCTTGTTCCATGAACAACAAAAAACACAACCCCCAATCTTGCCCAAGAATGCCCAAAGCGGATGTACCCAGCCGCCCGCTCCAGGATCTTCACCTCGTTCTCCGGCGCGGAAGGCGCCGAAGGCGCCGCCTGGCAGCAAAGCGACGTGAGGTTGCCGCAGTCGTCGCTGCACCTGCGAAACCCAAGGGGCTTGCCCTTGAGGGGTTTGGTGGGGAAGGTGAAACTGGGTGGGGTCTCGCAAAAGGCGATGCCTCTACAAAAAGGGAACCCACCGGCAACTAGGCAACCATGGGACGCCTCATGTTTGACGACATAACTCCTACGAAGGAGGCTCTGCTTCAGGCTCATGATGCTGACGCTGATGCAGGCCAAATCTGACAAATGCATTGGGGTGTCATGGGGGGGCTCTGACTCAACAAGCAATCAAGCAAAGGAAGCTCATGCAACCAAGATCAGGAAGATCAAGTAAGCAAAATCAAGCCAGCCAGCCAGCAAGCAAGCACTTACAAACAAGAGACAGTCATTCATGACTGGTCGGGGGCGGGGGTGGTAAACAGGGTAGTTCTTCTGGGTGCGTCTCATTAAATATATATATATAGCTGAACAAATATAGCTGTAAGCGATATGAGGGGTGAAACTTGGCAAAACTTCTTCAACTAGACTTTGAAGATCTTTGAAGGGCAGAGGTTGCGACGGATGCGGCTTGTGCTCATACGAAAACATGCGAATTCTACCCCTCCCTCCTTCCAAATCTTCCAAGGCCCAAGGCACAGGAAGTGGTTGTCAGACAGCATCGCGACAGCAGTTGACCACGCAGAGATCTGGTCATAGGCCACCATTGAAATCGACTTCTCCTGCGAATTTGGAGGTCAATCCGAAACCGTGCGAAGCGCACCTCCGGTATGGTGCCATCCACCGTGGAACATCTCCCGTGATGAAGTGGGACTCCCTAGCCCAGAGAGAAACCCTACGCACGATCCTCGGGATCGAAGCGGAACATGGTGACGGATCGCATGATGTCCCCCGCCAGAATGCAATGGCCTTGCGCGAGGGCCAAGTGGAACTGGACCCGGGACCTTCTTCCGCTAGGCTAAGCCCCTGCGAACAAGACCAAAACGAATCCGGTTTCATCTATCTCACTTCCCAAGTTGACTGGCCAAAAAAAGTTTGAACTTTTTATTTACCACTAAAATGGTCTTTCCAAAAAGCTTAAAGTCCCCCAACTCAGGAAGTGAGCTATACGGTCTATACGTTTCTGGCGTTGTCCAAGCCCTGGAGCGACAAGCAGGCCCCGTGCAGCCACGTAGCCCATCGTTTGGATGTCCAACACGATGACGCCAGCAGCGTAGCGACACACCTCCAAGGGCATTTGAACTGCCATTTAAAGCAGCTGTAGCGCAACTTGGCTACTTGCTCTATTGTTTGGTTTGGCGACCATGGAATCAAGACTGACAGGGGGAAACGAGCCGGCCTTGAACTACACGTGTCACTCTCGGTATGTAGGCATGGCTAAAAGAAAGACATCGGGAATGCAGCCGCATGAGAAAATTCCCCTTGAACGAAACGGCAAGGGGGTCGTCATGGCGGCTTCCCTTTCAGCAACATGAAAACCACTCAATTCGCCCCTGTGTGCTCGGAAACCATCATATGGGGATTGCTGAAAAAGGTCGACCATTGAGGTGCTGTAAAAGAGCAGCCCATTAGGAAACCCGTTTTACGGGCCCCCCATCTTGAGAAACACCCGTATCCTGCCTATGGACCAGCAAAAGGCGACGTATGGGCAATCATTCATGTCCAATGCTCCGCCATCTATCTTCACCCCTGACCGTGATTGTCCATGGATTCGTGCTTGAATGTGAATGTTTGGGTGCAAATGTTCGGCGCCTTTTTGGAGGGGCCCCTTTTTGTGTGGTGCAGGAAAGCCATCTTTGTTCCCCTACTCTGATTGTTGATGCAAACCCAGGGCAGCGGCAACAACCGTCAACCGTCGCCTCCATGAGGCGGCACTGGCCCTCCCTCACCACCAGCTCCCACAGCTGCAGGCGATTATTCACCTCGCGAAAGGCGAACGATGGCAACACCACGGACCACTTTACTCCAACAGTGCCCTCTTAACATCAACAAACAAAAGGCTTAGCGTGTTGATGCATCTGGAAGGATCCTCGTACTTCATAAACACGTTTTGATCATTGCTCACTGGGCGTTAAAAATTGGGGGGGTCTGGAATACAATTCCCCATTCCCTGTTTGTTCATTTCTTGTGGCGATTTGGGTCTGAAATTTAATTCGGGACCCTTTGGCGGACATCATTTAGGTGGAGATCCATGTCCACCGCCATTTTGCAGCCGAACGCTCCTGCTGGATCCTTCGCCCCGCCCCCCTCCACTGGCCCACGCCGAGTCTCTGCGCCCAGCAGTCGCCCCGCCAAGGGCGCCAGTGTGTAGACGGCGCCCTGCACCTCCACCGTGGCAACTACTCGGAAGGGCGCCGCTGCCTCGGAGTGGGGCTCAAGATGGGTGGGGTGGGGTGGGGTGGGGTGGGGTGGGGTGGGTGGGGGTGGGTGGGGGTGGGGTGGGGTGGGGTGGGGTGGGTGTGGGTGTTTGTTGTCAAGGTACCCTTTCAAAGCTTGGTGCAAAGGGAACCCACACTTTTGGGCCGTGCCCAAATTACAAATTACACTTCCGTCGGCTCATACGTCGTACAGCTGGATATGGGAAACCAGCCACCAAAGGTGAGGACCCCCCGGCCCCGGCCTCAGAAGAACTTGCTGCGCACGGCGCCAGCAAGCGAACCTGGCACAAACAGCCTCTCCTTGGGGAAGAACCTTCAAATGGAATTAACCAACCTGACATACGAGATCCCCAAGGACCTTCACTTGCGAGGTGAGCAGGTTTGAACCCCAGGTGAGATCTGGAACAATAATTCGATGTGTAACGCCTCTGGTCGAGGAATGCACGATGGATGGCATGTGGCGCCAATCCCCACACCGGTCTTCCAAAGAAGGGGCTTGTCACCTGTCTCATCGGAAACCCCGCCTGACCGCGCGACGGCTCGGGCTCGCTTTCCAGCACCACAGCTGTGCCGACCTGCGGAGCCGGAACCCAAGAGGTCAGGAAGGGCCCGTTTCGACTGACGACGGGCATCACCGCGGAAAGAAGTGCATTTATTTTGCCATGAAGGCAGAAAAAACAAACCATTTCGGGGTTTACCATGTTGAGTGGTGAAGCCCCAACAAAGAACGGGAACAAGGATGCCACTGAACAATGGGCCAAACCCCCCCCGGCCCCAAAATACAACGTGAAACTTGGAAGGGGCCCCACTCCTGGAAGACAAGTTTCCTACAGGAACGCACTTTCAGGCTCCATGGATACCCATCCAGAACAAACATCAAGCCGGTGACCGCGGCACGTCTCGCACAAATAGTCCGGGATGTTTCAGGTTCTCAGAAACCAGTTCCAGAGACTTCTGGAAGCTATTCAATACCCCCCCCCCCCGATTTAAAGGATTTGGAGCTGGCTTCAGCAGGTGCCATATCAGGAGCTAAATTAGCTACTAACAATAGCCAGCTAACCTGGGCCTTGAAGCCCCCACCCCAGTCCAGTTAATTCGGCCCTGCGAACCTCCCTTCCAGCTAGAGGCTTCGGCACGAAGACCCAGGGACCCAGGAGTGGATGCTAACTGCATGCGCTACGCACGGGGAAAATGAGAAAGGTTACTCTCATTCTAACATCGTCGTGGCGGAAGGTGACTAGGTACTGTCGATTTTCTATTGACAGCAGTACAAGATTGCAGAATTCCAGCATGTTGGCTTTATCTTCCCCCTTTGCTTACCCACACAAAGGGAGTTACGTGCAGCGTTGACCCTGGTGTACCCGAATCGGCGGCTCTCGGCATCTCCGGCCGCAATGTACTCCGCGTCCCCGAGGGTCACCGTTAGCAGCGAGGCGATCTGCTCCTCGCACTTTGCACAACGGGCCCCAAAAATGGAGCGGTTCCCTTGGAATCGAATCCTTCCTCAATCGGAACGGGGAAACATTGTAGGGAACCGACTAAAGAGGGAACGATTCCAAGGCAACTTACGGAACGATTCCTGTTCCAAATACACTTTTGAAAAGACGTCGGAGGAGCAAAAAGCGGTCCCCTTCTAACAGGCTCGATGAGCACCTGGGCCTTGGTCACCATTGGTTGCCGGACAAAGTTGTCCCCGTGCAGACCTATCACCTCGCCTAGAAATAAGTCACCTTCAGGGGAAAAAACTGTGTCCGAGAATTGCCCCCTGTCCGAGGCGGTTGACAAAGTTGGCATCCTTCCTTCAAAGTAGGGGACGGCGTTCCCACTGAAGGGAGGAGGTCGGCCAGTGAATGCACCCGGGAGAGTGCCGGCACTCAACACCCATCTTTGGAAGGATCCCCTTTTGGATATCATCGAGTTGTCCTGGTTGCTTTCCATGCTTCCCGGTACATACACAATCTCACAAGCCAGCAACCACTCCTAAATGAGGCTGACTGCGTTGCAGCTTTGCCGCTTTACGTATGCAAGTGTTGTCTTTCTGGTTGGACACCCTTCCCCCAGTCTGAATGGCACACAGACATTGGGTCAAAATCCAAATCGTACCCCCACTGAACATCCCAATCCCCACTAAAATAGACTAAAATGGGTGGTGCACCTACCAAAATGGTACCATTGGTTTTGACCCAGGCTCAATGGGAACAAATCAGTATGGCAGGAGACAAACGAGCCTTACCCTTGGAACATTGGACGCTTGTGCAGAATGATCTCTATCCCACTCTCTCACTCTCTCGGACCATCCTGCAGGTCCCAAATTAAGAGCACACTTGGCGCAGGAAACACTGACAAAGACAGGACTAGTAAGCCATAGAGTTAAGGAATAACTGGTAATGATTTGTCTTCGGAAGCATGGTTGCGGTTTCATCAAACGCCCAAAGGTAAACTAAAGGTATATAGGATGACTACTATGATTCCTGTGAAAGCGGCCCAAGACGGGAAAAAAAACAACTGGCTAAATAAGATAGCTGGTCGGAAGATGGGCCTCACTTGCCAGAAACCTGAAAATACATAGCGCTTTGATTGCCATGAAGGTGGCTGCCAATTCATTTGGGTTGCATTGTGAGGGCTGCTGGTTGTTCGTGTGGGGGGGCCTAGCAGCATCCCCCCATACCATAAGTGGAATGGCGGGCTGGCTTATTCCCATAGTTCCCACAAAGAACAAGCCACCCTGCCCACCTTGCAATGGACCGAAACACCCTCATTTCTGGAGAACTCTCATTTTGTGCACCTTCTTTTTTGCGTTCCTTCCATTTATTTGCAGGCACTCCCACGGAAATCACACGGAAATCACAAATACCGACAAAGCCCCCACCACCGCAAATGCAGTCACCTCAGTTGTTCAGTGACCCTGGAGAAAAAACAAAAAACACTTTGGGGCAAGACCATTTTCGGTGGGGCAGCCACCAAAAAAAAGAAGAAAAAACGGTGGGAAAAAACGGGTGCCACCGAACAAGTGAGTCACTTCAACCGCCCCATAGAGTCCGTTGCAGGCACCGGGGCCCCCGGCATCCGGGCCCAGCGTCCAGGTGTCCAGCAGCGTCACCGCCTCCGACACGAAGAGCAGCTGCGCACGGGTGCGAGGTGCGGGCCTGGGCCAAACGGGGCGGGCGTGGGGCGTGGAAACTTTCTCGGGCCTTTAATTACCCCGATCAGTCAAACAAAAAAAGCGCCGGAAACTTCTGGGCTGTTCAAAATGGAGGGTTACCCAATCCAAATCCTTCATCCCTAGAGGGAACCACCGCGCGAACGGTACGCCGTGGTAAGCTCCGCGAAGCTCGCTTCGTTGGGAAAGATGTCAAACTGGACATTTCACTCACTTCACTTGTCACTTCACATTCCCATTCCCACACTCTCATGTCCAGCACGCCAGGGGGCACACACTCAGATGCCCCGATAAACGTTTAACTTTGTGTAGATTAAACGGAAATCCAACCACCAAACACTAAAAAGCTCAAAAGCTACGGGGATGGCTGGGAACCACAAAGGGACCCACCCAAAGGAGCAGCACCCCATGTAAGTATGTGTCGAAGGGGGACCCCCAAAAACATGGTTTGCCGGATTGGGGGTCCCTTCAAACCAAGGTGCAAAGAGTCCCGTGAAATCCCTGCACTGAGGCTTTGGCATCGTCGCTGTTGGCAGATCACCACAGCCCACTGCGCAAATGTGGGTACTTCGGTGGTGGCTGATCCTACGCAGGCAGCTGGGAAAGCTGAGTGGTTGAACCAGGGTGAAAATACATGGCACTAACCCCTTCATGCCTGAAAGTGAAGAGGATGAAACCTAAATGGAGGGGGTGCGCCAAAAACAGTTCCTTCATGGAGAAATTGCGGATCCTGAACTGTGGAGCCTGCCCCTGTGGATCAGCCAACTGGTTGTTCCACTCATTTCATCAGTGCCCACCACTAAATCCAACAGCTGCGGGGTCTTTGCGCAACCCCAAGGCTAGGGTACATGTTACCGCCATGGGAGCTGAACCCCCTCCCGGCCGAGGATCAACGCCAATTCGGCAGAAAAATTGCTCTGACACATTGACTTCCCAGATTTGATGGTCAAATGTCATTAACTCAGGGATGCACCCAGTTGGCTTCCTTGTCCTTCGCCACGACCAGAATCCCACATGGAGGACCTGCTATGCCAATTTAAGGCATTAAAGAAGATAATTCAGCAATCTCGAACCAAGGGATGGCTTCCAAAGGAAATAAACATGGTAACACTGACAACAACCCATTTGGAACATGTCAGTTTCCTCCCAAAATGTCAAAGGCTTGACTGGGTTCTTCCAAATCGGGGGACGATCCTGCAAGCCGCAGTGGACCACTACACAAGAAGGGAAACCACTTCTATCTGGCAAAAGGATCACGCATGGAGTTTGAACAAAGCAGCCCCCCCCCCCCAAAAAAAAAGAAGGAAGGAGAACATATCCCTCAATTGGGTCCTTCAAAATGAGAGGATCGCAATACTCATCCTTGATCCGTATTCTGAAGAACCCAGTTTGAGCACCTTCGACCGCGCACTCCTGAGTGGAGCCTGCGGCAGCTGAAGCGTCTGCACGTGCATCCGGTGACCGCATCGGAGACGTGCCAGCAACAAACGCCTCACGTTTCTCCAACCCCAAACCTGTCTTTTGACCTACATGTTCGGTTCATGGGCCGAATAACTGATTTCGGAGAAAATAGGGTCCCCTGAATACTAGCTCAATTGATGTACCCATATGAAAAAGGGACCTTCAATTGAACAAACATGTGAGAGGTCCCAAACCCAGTCTGAGGTCGCTGTAAGTTGCAAAACGCACACAAAAAAGTACCTCTCAAACTGTTGGTTGATGTTGGCTCCCGTTGTGACACAGAACGCCATCCAACAAGGGAGGCGCAGTGTAGGATACATTGAATTGAACCAAGCAGCCTGCCAATGTTTTGAGTACGACCCTGTCCTAGTGCAAAAAGACGCGCAAATCCTTCTAGATATAGAGTGTGTATGTATCCATTTATGTACGAATGTATGCAGGTAGGGAGGTATGCAAATATGTAGGTATGTAGGCATGTAGGTATATAGTTATGTCGGTATGCAGGTATGCATGCAAATACGTACGTACTGGGTGGCAGGCACACTTTGATGGGGTAGGAGGAACACAACACAAGCTCAACCCCCAACCCCCCCCCCCCATGCCTCCAGTAGCCGGGTACAGAAAGAAAACATGTAACATGTCTTTTGGGGGTAAGCGGTGTTTAAACAGGAAGCCAGCTCAAAAGCAAACAGGGGAGAACATGGCGGCCCTGTCAAGATGCTCTTGGCTGATGAAGGCCATGCAGTGCTGGATGCCAGCGAGACCATGGGAAAAGAATGCCTCAGCATCAGAAATAACCGTTGTGACGCCAAAGTGGTCCATCCTTATTTGTTTGTCGCCTTGCCTGGGGCATCCGTACTGCTTTGTCGCCTTGAATGGGGCTCTCTTGATACTGCCACATGTTCCACCAGCTTGTGTGAGGGTACCCTTTCCGGATGGTTTCCAGGGAAGCTCCGTGAAAAACCACCATTCCCCTTTGGCACACAGCGTCCAAGTGCTGTTGCTGGTGCTGCGTGAGATACGCCCGGCAGGCAAATCTGCGAGTGGACGATGCGCTGCGCATTGGCCTTGGCCAACCACTTGGGTCTGTTTTCCCAAGAAAGCGGGCAGACAATGGACTTTGGTTTCCTTGCGGTTTCTGGCCAAAGCAAAAAAGAACACTCCAAAAACAATCCTCAAGACACGCCGACCCACCCACCAACATCAAGCCTGACTGGGGGTCCTGGAAGATCTTCCTCTGACAGGAACCCTCTGGTGAGCTTCATGATCCCTAGTCCGTACTCCGTGGTGGGACAACACATAGGCATCAATCTACTAGAATCTGGCACAAGATTTCGGACCGATTGGTTTGGAATGACCCAAACGGAATTGGCTTTGCTCAAGTCCAAGGCCAGCTACACGAGGGGCTGGAGGAAAAAAGCATCCCTAAGCCTCGCGGAGTTGACGCAACTTTCCGCCCCCGGGGTCGTTCTCTGAACGGCTGTTGTAAATGTCGATTGGCAAATAACATCACATGGCGATTGTCTACCGGCTACTCAGGGAATTCACACTATCTGCTCAAAACACATTTCGCAGAACGCCAGCTTAGTTGCTCTCCCTTCGTCCGTGCGGACTCATCAAGTGTTGCCTCCTACCCAGGGGGAGCCAGCCAAAGCAATTGAGCGAAGCTGCAGCGGCCTGCAGAATAATGCCATGGCCGCTCATGGCGATTAGCATCTCAGCGTCCTTCGGCACACAGAGTCCGTCAAAGGATAATTACATTGATGTACATCATACATCCAAAAATCACCTGACTTCATATTAGCCGGCATGTGTCTTCTTACTGGCCCAAATGTACCCGGTAAGGGCCCCTGGCACGTACGTTCAAAAATCCGATGATCGCCCCTAACACAGCTTCAATGCAGAATATGTTCATGCAGTCCTCTGTCTCGCCCTCAGGTTGCAAGCAAGGTCCTTGGATGAAACGCAAACAAATACTCCGGTTTGGGATCTTCTCCATTCTTTTCAGGGATCCTCTGGAACATCAGTAATATGAGAAAACAGATGGTTGTAAAGAATGGGGAAGGAACCCCAGAAAATGGGGCATCAACCCTTAGAAGTGGGGGACCCAACCCAGAGAAAATACTCTCTCCATGCAAGTCACCTATGAAGCATTGTGTGGAAAATGCCTCAGTACACACGACTAGAGCTTCCCAAGCATCCGATTTCTCTTTCTCCCTCGAGGTGTGGAACAACCACAAGCCGGACCGGCTGCAGCCCAACGACGACCTGGGCAAGCGACGAATTCAGGCGAAGGCCTCAATAATGTCCGCCAAGCTGAAGATCGACCGCGTGCTTTTGACGAGGGTGGTGGCCAAAGTGGGGCTTGGAGCAAAGTTGACCCCTCTGGGCTTGCTATTGATTCCTTGGCCATGGAGGCGAATTGGCGTGGTTCTGCAAATATCTGTTCCGGCTGTAGGGCAGGGGATGCGGGATGCCCATGTCATGTCTGATCATGTCTCTGTCTGAATTGAGATCTCCCCTTCCGGAAGGTCCCCCATAGAAAACAACAGGCCTCATGCAGTTCCCCACCTCGAACGCGTTCCGCAATTCAAGGCACTGGCGCTCGACATCACTTGACCCCGAAAGCACAAACTGCTGCAGCATCATCTTCAGGGATTGAACTTTGAAGACCCTGTGTTGTAGAAGCGTTTTGGATGAATTATGCGCAGGCGAGAATCTCGCGAATGTCTTCCGGCAAAATCTTGCGGCGAAATGGTTGAAGCAGGTAGAATCGGGCAAAATGCCGTTTGGTGCCCTCTGATCCCGGAAGTACAAGGTCAACCCTTTGGGGCCATGACTAAGAGAGGGAAACCAAAAGGTCCCAAAGGTCGGTCCGCTATGGGCAAGTGAGTCATTCAGGAACCTGGTGGACCCCACCGAACTGAGCGAGGCGCGCGGCGTTGCAGGTGCCAAGCACCGCCAAGGGAGCGAAAACTCATCCTGAGGCCAGTGGGTGGGCAAATTTGAGGCCAGTGGGTGGGCAGCCGTGCTTGTTGAATAGAAATGGAAGCCTCCCCCCCCCAGAAAAAGGAGAAACCTCATGAAAAAGGGAACTCTCCTCAAAAAAAGCACCCCGTCGTTTGTGGAGTTTATTCAAAATACCTCCCCAACAAAAAGGAGAACCTCATGCAAAAAGGGAACCTCCTCAATCAGGCTCCCGTGGTTTGTTGATTCTAAGGGGAGAGCCTCCTCAACTCACTTCCTGAGTCAATTGGCCAGAAAAGGTCTCAACTTTCTGTTTACCACTAAAATGGTCCACACCCCAAAAGTGACTCAAGTCCAGGAACTCAGGCAGTGAGTCAGTCCAATTGGAGAAAGGCCAAGGGCAGCTAGGCCGCAGAGTCCCGTCCAGGAGCCCCACGAAGAGCTGAAGCCCCAACTTCCGGCCCTCAGCTGGCGTCCTACAACTCACCCAGCCTGCCCCGCAGGAATTCACTGGCTGACCCTGGTCCAAGTACCCCCCCCCTCCTACCATCTGTTAAAAAAGTTTAATAACTTGTGTGTGGGGTAGTTTGTGTTTCTTTTGCGGGGGGGAGTGCTCAACTTGGCAATTTTGGCCCCAAAAATACAGTGGTTGGACTTTGGTCCATATGTACTCTCCGTGCACTCATGGAAGCCGACAGGAGGGTTTTGGAAGACTACTTTCCGTTTGGGGAAGCACCCTGCCCACTTTCATGCTTTTAGGAGGGAGGGTAGTTAAAACGAAAGCGGAATGGGATAGATCCTGACGATGAGAGGCAAGAATATGTCCAGGTCCATCGTTCTGAGGAATATGGCATGATACTATTCAACACTTACAGAAAGTGATCACGATATTGATCACAACAACATAGAGAGGTGGTAGCGTCCTCCCTCCGGGGAACACAACATTAGGCCCAGCAAACAAACACTGTAATAACATCCCGAGAAAGGTGGGCTATGTTGGTGATTCAGCCCAACCGCATCTAACAACCAACCATGTGTGCGCTCATGACTCTACAAAACCACATTGGGTTTATCGCTCTAGGTTTGGGTTTGTTTTGAGGGGACGCGGCCTCAAGCAAAGGTTCCTGCATGCCCAGTACAACACCCCGCCGGTTCATTAGCAAAGGCATGACCAACGAGACCGGAGTCCGCGTAAGAAGGCACTTAGCTTTACTGACGTGATCTCTCGCAGTTTGAACATTTTAACATGGGCCTCTGAACAAAAAAACAAAAAAAGAACAACACGGCCGGCCAAGCAGGACTCTGCTTGTCACATGTCTCAAAGAGCTATCGCTCTCCCCGCTCCAGCCAAAACTGTTCGGGGCCCCGCCTTGGAATAAGCATTGAGAACATGTTGCTGATGAGAAAGCTCAGAAGGGAGAAATCTGAAACATGTGATGGTTCAGACTGCATCCCCTTTCCAGCTCATCTCCCCTGCGATGATTGATTGTCCTTCTGTTTTCTCACCTCTGGCTCCCCGTCTTTCCATGAGAACCTGCTTTGCACAACAAAAAACCACGGCGGTGAAGTCGGACGGCTGAACCGGGTGAACCGAACGGAGCCCCCCCCCCTGCTTCCCATCAAGCTGCCAGCCGCGCAAAGGCCAAGCTCCGAGGCAATGAGGGCAGAGCCAGCTTGGCGAGGTCCTTGTCCTCAAGCGCTTCTGGGGCTTAGTCCGGGGGAAACTGGGCTGCCAGGGAGGGACAGTCCAGCGAAGAGGAAAATGGGCTGGGGATGCCCCAACGAAAAAACATCGGCATGGACATCACCCCTTCCAAAAAAGTTGGGGTGCCAAGAGGAAAAAGGCTGAATCAGCTGGGGCCGTCCCACGCCCTTCCTGCCTCAAACCTGACGGAAGGCCCTGTTTAAAAACAACTGGTCTGGCATGCCTTTGTTGCTGGGAGAATGATCAGCTTGCCGAATTAGAACCTTAGCCCACCCAAGGGAGCTTTTGAAGTAAGCGCTTGAACATACTCAAATTCTAAGGGCACGCAGAAGCCTTTTGCATTCTGAGAGATGTTCCTTGACAAAATGCCCTGGCAAATTCGCAATGATATCTCATATTGCGATTCTTCCCAAGGGGTCGCGACGTTGCATGTCGGGTGTGCTGCAAGCACAACATTCCTGCAGAAGTCTCCAAGGTCTTCTGCCAATAATCTGCTGTGGATGGACGCAATCCATTTCGCACCACCTAAGAAACCCCGGTATCTGATTTTGCTGCAATACGCACAACACTGGTTTCCGATGATTCCCCTGCAAATCCGACAAGCATGGTTTCCCATGGTTTTAAAACTGGGCGAAACCGAAGATGTCGCCGCCGAGCGCGCCTCTTTGGCCCTTCCCGCTCCACTCGCTCCGCGCCTCGCGGTGGAAGATGCAAAGCTCCTCGCTCCAAAGGCCAACGGCCAACACGCCCCCGCCGGCCGCCAGGCAGCTGGGCTCCCCTGACGTCTCAGGTTTCGGTGGCCTCCCAACATGGCACCGGTTAGAGGAAGTGCCATGTTTCTTGCTGGGAGGGTGTTTTTTACTTTTGGGGTGCTTTCCCTTAGCATTTGCAGGATGATGCTCATGCCTCCCTGGTGGCCGGGACCCAAGCATCCCCACCCCACATCTGGGCACAACTTGGCCCGTTCAGCATAGAGGCAGAGAAGCACGCCCACAAAATGGCTCAAGGGTGCCCAGCTGAGCATTCCAATACATTTCCCGCATAAAAGGCTGAACATGGAAATATGGAACTGCGTGGGTCAGCTTCCCAAAAGGAGGTGCCCCTCATTCGAGGGGTGCAGTTGAGACTCCAACGTGGGGAGAGATCCCTTCTAGGTCAAGCCTTGGCTGCAACAACATGCAAAATGTCAGGCCCTTGTGCTAATGCAAGTAGCTGCTCAGTGGCAGGTCATGGAGTAAACGTGCTGGCTCCCGTGATGGTGGTGCATGCTTGGGGGATTGGAAACAACAGGGGCACGTAGCCGCCAGCAACTAAAGAAATGTTACACCCGCTTTAATGAAAGTCGCCTCTATTGTGCATTTGTTTTCGTAATTCAGGATCCTGTGACTGTTTTAGGGGTCCGCTATTGTGGCATGTTTTTCCCCTCCCCCCCAAAAAAAAGTACAGGCTTGTTTGTTTTAGACTCTCTGGTCTGGGCAGGCTCAGGTCGGACTCAGGCTAGACTAAGCCTTAGCTGCTGTTGAGCTGGAGGCTGGTTCTGAGCTAGCCTGAGGTCTAGGAAATCCATTTTGCAAGTTGTGCCCAAACCATCAAATTTATGATAACTTCGTTACAAAAAAGGAAGTTGAATCAATCACACAAAGGGGGTTGCCCACAACCAACCCTGATCCGCTTTAGTGTGATTGTTTTGGGGTCCTCTTTAGTGTTCAACTGGTTTTGGGAGCAAATCTCAAAAGGAAGCTCTACCAATACTAAATCAATTTGAAACTCAGTTCCAAATTTCAAAAGGAAGCTCTACCAATACTAAATCAATTTCAAACTCAGTTCCAGATCTCAAAAGGAAGCTCCAGCAATACTAAATCAAATGGAAACTCAGTTCCAAATCTCAAAAGGAAGCCCCAGCAATACTAAATCAAATGGAAACTCAGCTCCAAATCTCAAAAGGAAGCTCCAGCAATACTAAATCAAATGGAAACTCAGTTCCAAATCTCAAAAGGAAGCTCATACTAAATCAAATGGAAACTCAGTTCCCAATCGCAAAGGGAAGCTCCAGCAATACTAAATCAAATGGAAACTCAGCTCCAAATCTCAAAAGGAAGCTCCAGCAATACTAAATGAAATGGAAACTCAGTTCCAAATTTCAAAGGGAAGCTCCAGCAATACTAAATCAAATGGAAACTCAAGTCTACCAACACTAAATCAATTTGAAAGTCCCACCCAGACCTGCAGGGTTTCCCTAAAAAGGGTCCCGCTGACTGGTTCCATTGTTCAGGGGGGGGGGGGTAGCATTAAAGCAGGTCCAACATTACATAACTCAGATGTACAAAACTGCTGTTTCTTTTCACAGCAGCCCCGCCGGGTGTAATTTTAAAACCACCATTGCTGAAGCCACTCTCCCACGCCTCGGGGGGCTGAAAAGTATTGTCAAATTGGTGCTGCTTGACCACAGTCGAAACCTTTGTTTAATCGAGCGCTTCGAGGGCAGTATATGTCACGGATATGTATGGACACATCGCAGTAGCATTAAAAACAATATCCTAGTCAAACACTATGACACTGTTAAAACAAATTACACTCATGAGACCCACTTGGGTATCATGGCACTGCCGCAAGGTGCCATTGACCAAAAGCACTGGCCGGACGAACCGATTCTTGGCGAGATGTTTCCAATCCCAGCCTCGAAGCCGCCAAGAAGCTGCCTCCGTAATGCCCTGAGTGCCTGATACAGCGACGCGTTGCATGGTCAGTGCTCAGGCCTGGTGCCATTGAATGTTGGCTCTCCAGACATCAGTGCAGCTACTGGCCCCACAATGCCAGCATCTCTCGCCAAAACCTCCAGTGTTCCTTCAATTGGCTTATGCTGACGTCGCGTTTTTGGCTAACAGTTGATGTGTCCCTCCTTTTGCTCGTGTTGAACCAGGCCAAGCCAACTAACAAATCTGCAAATGTTTACTCTCATGTCCAAGGCTGAAATAAGGGATCCCAAGTAAAGGACCTTTGTCATGGTGAGCTCTTTATGCCCGAGCTCGCTATACAATAGGTTTATCAAATAAATGGCCATGGGTCAAAAGCCAAATCGTACCCCCAGAGAACGTCCGATTCAATCCCCACTCAAATGGACTAAACTGGGTGGTGAATTCACCTACCAACGAAAATGGGATTCCATTGGTTTTGACAACCACGGCCAAATCCAAGTTGAACGTCAGCGCTTCCGGCCAGGCCTAGCTCCAGCACGCTGACATCTGACACCGTGGCCACCAAGGCGCCTGCGCGAGGTGCAGAGAGCAATGAGCTCGTTCAATGAAAGCCATGTGGGTGTGGCTGTGCTTTTTTGTTTGAGGGCACTTTGTTCGGGGTTGGCTTGAAGAAAAACAACCCAAGACCATTTTGGGGTCACCCTGTTTTGAAACACGCGCAGGCCTTTCCTTGAAGGGTATTTCTGTGGTGATACATGGCTGCCAGAACAAAACAACAAACAACAACAACCGTTTGCGAAGAGAGAACAACCTTGGATAAGGGATAACAAGGGTCAACCAAACGCATCTGATTTTCCGACATGGCAATCAAACTTACTGAAGATGCATGGCCCCAAAGCTCGCGTATCCCGGATGCGCTGTCCAAGAATTACGCCTGCTCCTGGAATCTCCGCCGCTGAGAGCAAAGGCTTTTTGGGTGTCCACCTCAATGCATGGCGACACGCGGAGCCTCCCTCATGTAAGAAAACGCAGAGATCATTGCGGGGGCCGCAGGCACAAAATCTATTTCCCGACGGAGCTCACAGGCCATCCCCAAGCCTCACGCCCAGTGAAACGCACTGCCAAGCAAGCCGTGGCCAGCCCCTGTCTGCTGCAAAGAATAAACAAGCCAGAAATGGCAGGAAATAGTGCTTGACTGTTGAAGGCAGCCTGAATGGAAGTGGAAGCTTTCTTTCTTTGGAAGCCTTCCAAGCCTGCCAAACAAAGGATTTCACAATCTCGCTTTTGGGTACACTCTTGCACCACAAAAATTGCACAATCATTCCTACACCAAGGTGCAACCCGGAGTTGCACCAACTTGAGGCAAAGTCGGTGAAAGCCTTGCCTGATTTTTATTTCAAATCCAAATATCCCAAGGAGGGCAACTCCGCAATGATCCTAGCTCGAAGAAGCCACACGTGGGTGTTGACCGCGCTTTGGGGACATGGCCATTTGGAGCACCTGCCGCTTGCCAACCCTTCAGGCATCACCCTGGCCCAAAAGTCGATGATAGATTCACACAAATAGAAAAACATGAGTGTGTCAGGCTGAGACCTTTTGACCGGTTTTAGCGGCATTCCTTGTGTTTGCTAGGTAGCCGGGGCTGCTGCGGCTATGGGGCAGAGCCCTGTGCGGACAAACAGCCCGCGCTGTCAGGTGCCAGTGGCTCCGCATCCGAAATACAATGACCATCACAAAACTCTGTTGCTTTCTGCTCCCCTGCTAAAAGCTTAAATCTTAGTGGTTCAATGGAAAACCCATTAGTTGGCAAAAAGTTAAAGTCCTAACATCCAAGCAAACCAAAGAAAAGGAATTTGAGACACACCGTAAGTCTTGTTTCGTCCGAGGCGCTGCGCAACACGTGCCAGGTCCAAAGACAGCACCTGCACCCCAGACCGCGTCACCTGCAGCGCCATCGTGCCCACAGAGCCTGACAAAGCACGAGATGCACCCATTTAAACCATGGGATTGAGCCATTTTCCTGGGAAGTCTTGCCCCATCTGACCCCCTTGTGGCCAACAACGTGTATATAGATGTGTATCTATTTCTCTAATCATTTGAGTATTGAATGATTCATTTGTTCATGGTTTGTTGAGTTGTCTATTTACCCATTTATTTGTGTATTTAGTTATGTATTGACTTGTCTATGTTGTTATACTTATTGGTTCATTTGTGTATTGGTTTGTTCATTTGTTTGTCTATTCATTCATGCATTCATTTATTGGTTTGTGTTATTGCGCTGCATAAAACATAATATATGCACATATGTATATATGTATATATGCTTTATTGATGCATATGCACATGCATACTGCTCATATGTGCTCAATATATGGATGCACAATTGCATACATGTGACTAAACAAACATCAGACCTTGAATTCGTGTTTCTCGGAAAATCCGCTGGAACGAAACAAACATTGAGAGGCACTGAGGAAAAGTGGAAATCGAGCTGCCCTTCCTCGTCACGCAACCCACGGCTTTCTAATGGCCTTCCAAATCCCAAAGACCTTTGAGCTTGCCTCCTGGTCAAACCGACATGTTCCACGGGCAATGCAGTCACTCACAACCCCCCCCCCCCAGCCCCCCACCCACCTCCCAACCCAACCACCTCCCAACCCAACCACCCCCCCAGCCCCCCACCCACCCACTCCACCCACTCCACCCACTCCACCCACTCCACCCACTCCACCCCCACCCACTCCACCCACTCCACCCACTGCACCCCCCCGCCCACCCACCCACCCACTCCACCCGCCCCCCCACCCCCCCACCCCCCCACCCCCCCACCCACCCACCCACCCACCCACCCACCGGGCATCCTGGGGTCCTGGCAGCAAAGCAGCGTCTCCTCCTGCAAGAGGCCCTCAGCAGCGCACAGCTCCAAACCGAAGTCCGGAGTGCCGCCTGAGCGCCAAAAGGCCACATGCTGCCTCTCAGCTCATTGGCTTGAAGGCAGTCAGCGACGCACATGATACATGGTAAAAAAGAAATCATGGGATGCCTTTTTTGAGGGTACCCCTTTTGGGTAGGTGTTAAAGGAATCCCAACAAGGAAACGACAACTTTCTGGGAGGCCGCTAAAAACACAAACCAATAATGAGTTGCTTGATTTTATGTGTACATATATATATATACTTAATTTGCAGTATTTACAGTAATAACAACATACATACAAATGTTCAACAAGTATTCAGACTCATGGACGGGAATAAACATATACCTACCAGCCTTGGCAACACTCGACAAATCCTGAGTGAGGCCGCAAGCAGCAAATTCTAAATGACATCCTGTACTAATCATCCACCCAAAAAACTGTTTCAAGGTGGTGCAGGGAAGAATAACGCATGTTCAAGCATAGGAAGGACTAAACAATTGCGCCACACAATTAGCATCGCTGCCACACGTCAAAGGAAATCAGACATCACCTGTCAAACCACCATTTGAGCGGTGCCGAAAGTAGGGTAGAGAAAAACCCAGGTTCTAGTCATTGTTTCCATTTGCCAGGGTGCCATGTTGGGAACCATTTTGTGAGCCACAGCCATATCCATGATTTTAACCTGCTTGCCCTCCCGACCTATCTGGGAGGGCGTGCAGAAAACTTTCCTCAAGGAACCCTCTGGGTTCTATGTTAGATAGGGTACTAATCTGGTTGAACATCTAAGTAGTGTATCTTGTTTCTTTGGGGTACCCCCCAAATTCTTGACTCTTTTAGTCGAAGAAACTTCACAGAACTCAACCCAAGAGGTCACCACCTTCCTGCCGAAGACAAAACCCAGTGCGGGTCCTCCCCCCCCAAAAAAAAACACGCATCCCTCAAAATCATGGTTTTCCCTTTGGTGCGAGTTCACGTTCCCCGCACCGCTCGGGACCTTTTGGTCGGTGTTAGGTTCGCTGTGAGTGGACTGCATCTTCCATGGAAAACGAGTCGTTCGCCCCTCATTGAGGGGCGTGTGTGTGCGGAGTGTCAGGTCAACCCTGACACCACCTTTTCTCCATGGATACGATTCTTTTCGGATTGCAGCAGGGGGCAGTAGGAGACCACAGTCCTACTGCCAACGATGACGGCTGTGGAATATCCGTGATGCGGTTTGGGACGCCAACCCGTGTACCTGCTGATCTGTGTTACAAAGTCGTTCTGGCCCGATGTTTCTCTCGCTGTGTGTGCTTCATGTTCAATCCTGTAGCGTTTTGGATACTAGGGGGAAGCCATCGGTGTTGCCACTCGAAAACCCACCCACTCGAGACTCATCAGTTGTACTCGACAGATCTGATTTCTCCCTTGGGAGTCTAAGTGTGATGTGCGTGTGCGTGTGCGTGTGCGTGTGCGTGTGAGTCGCCTGGTTCTTTTGGGAGATTTAGCACGTCCCGCATATCCCTCCCGAACCATAGGGGGGGTGGGGGGGGAGACACGCCTCACCCCGAGCGGCCCGCGCCGCACGCCTGCGAGCTTCAGCACATCCGTCCGCCCGGGCCGCGCGAAGACCAGGCGGCTGCCAAGGGGCCACAAGCCCAGCACGCCGCTGAAGCCTACGGCGTTCCGCGGTTCCGCCATTTTTGGGGGTGTCCTGCTTGGAAGGAACCCGCTGTTTGGTGCGTTTTAAGGGGAAACCAAAAGGAATACCATGATTTTTTTGGGGGGTCCCGCAAAAAAAGACACATCCATTTACCTATGCAAGCTGGAAATGAAGGAAACCAGCCTTATACTGAAAGGCAAATGGCTGACTACTTGCTTGGTGGCCATTGTCCCCGCCCCCAACAAGTTTCACCGTTTAACTTGCCCGCCGTGCTCCCCGTCTCTAAACGTCATGCACCCCAAGCTCGCCGCAACCACCAAAGAGATCACCCCACTTGCCACTCATGGCCACTTCTGACCACTTCTCCCGTCCCACCTTGAGGCCTGTGGCAACCATGTGCGATCGACAAGTCGACGGCATTCGATGGCGATGCGGGGCCTGCAGAACACCCCAACTCCTCCACAGGAATGCCCATTTGGATGAAGCGCAGGGAGCCCACATCTCCCACGCCACTGCAGGTGACCATTTCTGCAGCCGGGCCCTGCAAGCGAGGCAAATCCATCCAGCGACTGCTGACTGCGCACCCGCAAAAATCGACTCGATGCCTCCGAAAAGAACAATCAACCTGAACCCTGCTCTCACCAGTATTACCTCGCTTAACTACTCGATGCATCCGAAAAACAACAACACCCCTCCAGCTGCCTTTCTGTTGAACCCTGCCCTCATGATCAGATAGCTCAATTGCAACCCATGCCCTGCCAAGCACATGGCCACGCCTTGGTGCAGAAGTCCTTGATGGGACCCAAGTTGTTCCAGGTGTCAAGCACCTGCCGCCATCTTCGCGACAGGGATGTTTTTTTCCCAGCAGGTCTTGTAACAGAAGATCTAACCGCTCTCAATTCCACACCCCAAAATGGCAGGTCCTGTTGCTTGAAGCAAAACAGAAATGCAACAAGAAACTGGCCCCGCCAACAAGTTTGAACTTCAGATTGATGATGCATAAAGAACCCCTACCGCGATACTCAGGGCCACACCTGTTTCTGTTGAAGGATTCCTCTGGGCACTTCCCTAGCCTTGACAACAAAATAAAGCATCCCTCATTGAAAAAAAGAGCCCCCAGTTGCAGTTGCTTTCCAAGGGGCAAAAGCCCCCAGTTGCAGTTGCTTTCCAAGGGGCAAAAACACGCACACCCCTTTTTGGGTATTTAGCCTACCCTCACATCTTAAACCGAGAAAACCGAACGCAAACTCGCCAGTTTTTGGTGCTCCCATTTAATCTCAGATGCCCAGCAACCATGTTGGTTGCTTGACTTTAAAGGGGAACCCTTCCCAAAAAAGTTGAAAGGGCGGAATCCCCTGGGCAACTGGGTTCTAGACACACCCAAGACCCATTCTCCCCCCCCCACCGCCTCGAAGGCGTCCTCCAAGTTATTGCGGCGCCTCCCCGCAGCCGACAAGGCCGAGGTCGGTGCGGACGCGCCCGGCGCCCGAAGCTTCAACCTGAGAAACCATTTGGTTCCCCACCAAACCCTTGGAGTTCCCTCAAAAAAGCAGATACCAGGTAGCCCCTAGCACCTGGAGGTTTGTTTTTTTTCTTCCCGCTACCTCTAATCATGGAAGCTGACAGGAAGGTGTGGGAAGTGGGGCGGCCATTACAAGTTCCCACGACTCGTCCAAGCACTTTCCATACCCACAGATTTGACACATGCAGGGGCCCAGTTGCCACTGCCCTGTGACTGCCAATTTTGACCACTGCAGGCAGGGTGCACTTCCGAGTCTGCCACCTTAGACAGCACGGTCATGGTCAATGAAATCGTTTGTTGAAGCACCCAGTGGCTACCAAACTTGACATCCAAAACCGCTCATGACTCGTACGACGGGTTTGTGAATTTGGGTCTGTTTTTGATAGGAAACGCAACGGACGTTGCCCTGAAAAACATATATCTCTTCGGTTGGCCAAAGCTCAGCAACGCACAAAATGACCCTCGAGCCACATGGCAAGGTGGCCTTTGTAACAAACAAATCCGGGCAACTGCCCTCCATGCCAGGCGATTCTCTCGTTTTGCCGCCCCGAAAAGGGTAGCCTCAAGAAATATGGGCATCTCCCTGAACCGCGCTGAAATGCACTAATACATGGGTGCGTCTTTTTGGGGGTACGCGCTTTTTGTGGTTTCACAGGGAAAGCCACGGGACAAAAACAAAATCCATTTTGGGGGTACCCCAGGAAACGACGAGCCACCCGTATGGTTTCTCCACCGATTCGGAGATCGATCGGCGACTCGCCTGAGAGCCGACGAAGGCAAAGTCTCCCCAGGTGGCAATCCCAGAGGCCTGGGCAACCCGAGTCGAAGGCGCGAACGGAACATGGATGTAACCATCCGCCCCCAGCGGCTTTGTACTTTTCGTGTTCAAAATCCCAAGTGTCCCAAAAGCAGTGGTTGGGCGGATGCCACCATGCAAGCCCAAGCCAAAAGCAGTGGCTGTGGGGTGGTAAAGATATAACCAAGAAAAGATGCCAAATCCAATGGAAAGATCCTCGCCAGTGCAATAGAATTCATCTAATTGGGCTTAGATGGGCTTAGAAACTCTTCCCGTATAATTTTTGGTAGCTGGCCTCTCAGCAGGGTCTGACTGATTGCCCACTGAGGCGGCCACTGGCACGGAAATGCCCAAGCACTGCACCACCAGGGGCCCCGTTTGCCCAGCATCCATTTCTGCCTGGCAAATCCGCGCAAGAGGCCATCTTTTTGGAAGGGGCCTCGTCAAAGCGTGGACGCCGTCTTGAAGCGGGCCTCTTTAAACCCTAATGGCCAACTGAGTGAAACCCAAAGCTTTGTCCATGTACTGCTTCTCCATGCAAGAACCCTAGTTGTCAAGTTCTCCCGGCTTGCATGTCAACGATGATTCCCCTCTTGACGGGCGATATATTCAACCCCTCGCCATGTGCCACTGTCGACCTTGGAACAAATCCACCCGAGTGGCTGTCATGTCAAAGGCGCCGGCTTCCAGCCGAAGCCTGGGAGACGCTTCGCTTTGGCCTCCCTCGGACACCGGTTGTTTGTTATTACAGCCTCGCCAGAAGTTTAGTAGGGCGCCTTCAGGAAACAAAAAAAAAGCAAGTGGCATGGTCGCACCTTTAGATTAGACCTGGCGGCTAAAAGCAGGGCCCCTCTCAAAGTTGCTCTGGGATCTGCAGTAAGTGCGGATCCCGAACCGCTTGTTCACTGAGGTTTTCCGGCCAGCAGCTTTCCTGTAGCTTGCGGCTCATCGAGTTGCTTGCAGCTCACTAGCTCATGACCAAAAAAAAGACTACAGGCCTCCACAAAAAGCGGGAGCCCTCGATATAGGCTCTGCTAAACGCATGTGCGGGTCCAAATGAGCACATTTACATCTTGAACTGATGGATGATGTCCACTTGGATTTAAAAGTCTAATTTGTCAAACTTGGTTTCCATTTCGAATTGATGGATCTAAAGCATTTGCTGGAGAGCTTTACACACTCTTAAAGCCGAGGGGCAAGTAAATATCCCCACATGCTCCGGCCACCAGCCAGCGGCTTCCGGATGAGTTGGCCTTGACCAGGAGGGTGGGTGCCTGCGAGCAGCGAGACAATCTCCAAACAGGTGGCCAAACTGAAATCTCTGACCCTCACAACACTTGTGACATTTAACCGGAGTAGCACTCGGCCTGCTTGCTTTGGATACAGGAGCATATTCTGCAAGTGATTTCTTCTTTGATGTCGACACCGGATATCAACCATGTGGACGGCTTCTGTTCCCCCAAGTGAAAGATCCCTCCGAAAGGGGACACCCCCTATATACGTATAGATACACTATATACATATATATGTATGCATATATATCTATATATATATATATGTAAATTAATATGTATAGATGTATATCTATATATATATATAGATGTGTATCTATATGTACATATAAATCAACATGCTCACCCATCCATAGCCAAATTGCGCATGAAATGCCGAACCAGGCGCATAACAGGCCCCGGGATTCCTGGAAAGCTCCACCATTTCCCGGGTACCCTCCCCCTTGGCGGCACCGTCCGCGCGCCCGAGCGTGGCTTCGCGAGCCTCACCGCCGCCCTTCAGCGACTGCAGCAGCGTGAGCTCTGTGTCAAAGAGCTGTACGCTGCCGGAACCCAAGGCCTTGCGAGATGAAACGAGCAAAGGACCCTCCCACCTTCACCAAACTTAGACCCCCTGCAAGTGAACTATTCTTAATGGAATAAAAACGATAAAAAGGGATAATGAAGGAACCCCCCAACAACACTAGCAACATAGTGAGTTAAGTCTTATACAATCTGTAGCCCAAGCCACAGCTGGACCCTGGTGCGGCAAATGCCGGCATGCGACTCAGCGGCCACACCAGCTACCACAACCTTTGAACACAAACACCGAGGGACCATTGGCAATCCTTGAGTGGTGAAGCGGAGTTGTGTCCGAAGCAAGCCCCAAGAATCATTATAGATATGATTAGCGCCTTTAACAAAGCCAAGATGGAGGGAGGTCGTACGGCACATGTCTTGTCCTCCTTGGCTTGAGGCTTCAGTAAGGCAACCATCAAAAATGATCTGAAAAACGAACACCGTTCCCCGGACTGACGCCATTCTACGGCCATGGGCGAAGCAGTAGCGACGACCGTCTTTTTCATTGGTAGGTCATGCCGCATGCCCCTTCTCGCTGCCTGCAGCGCTGAACATATCGTCCAAAGCCATAGGTGAGGGGCTAACTATGGCATTTAGGACTCAACGCCTTACAAAAGGCATGAATAATCTTTCTACCGATGTAAGTCATTTCCCAAGTACAAACAACAAACCGCTTCTTGCTGAATAGGTGACCAGGGCTGGACCTCACTGCTTCAAACACTCTCGTCGAGCTGACTTATGTACAACTTGTGAAGTGAGTGGGCGGCAAATCTCTGCGAACAAATTGTCTTCCTTGTCTGGGCATCGGCATCGCTTTTGATAGTTCCCTATCACTTTCCAGGATGTTCAGGCCTCTTAGTGCTCTCGTGAATGCTGCCCCCAAGTCCGTCGAAACGTTCTTGACTCTGGACTGGGCTGCTGGAAGTTCACTTAACTGGGCAGAACTCTCTTGTTTCGAACGCCTTTAGGCCGCCATATTTTTTCGCAGGTGGAAGCCCTGCAGCACCACATCCTTTCCAAGTTGCCAGGATAGCACCTCGCGTCAGCAGAGCCAGGGGTAGGGCGCTGCATATCCCATGCTGAAACAACAAACCTGAGGACCCGGCAAATTCTGCTCATGAGCCTGCAGCCTTGGCCTGATTCTCCAATGAGTGTGTGCTTCAAATGAGTGGTTTGCGCAATTGCCTTTGGACCAAACCGTGGCAAATCGACCATCGGGCCACCTAAAAGCCACTTGCCCCCGCTGCGCATGGAACAAACCTGCCATAGCCATGGAGCCAAGTACCGCACGGGACCTATGCCTGTGGGAAAACGATGCACACGAGCTTCGACATCGTAAGAGTCAGCGAAGAACCGACAGGGTGACCGAGTTGCTCGGTGACCCTGGTGGAAAAACGGAACCAGTTCTGAGGGTAACCCGTCTCAGTGAAAGACGAGCCCCCCCCCAAAAAGCCGCCCCCCCCCCCCAAACAAAAAGCCGGTGGGTGCCACTTTTGCCACTGAACTGGGTGATCCCTTGCTCCCGTGTTTTCCGCAGCTCCCCCCCCCCTCGCCTTGCGACACCCAGGTGGCGGCAGTTGGCGGCACAGCTGCCACCAAGCTGGCCTCCATGTACCGCCTGATCGGCGGAAGATCCAGGAATGTTACCAACCGTGGTTGATTCAGCGCAGCGCATGTTCGACTGAGGCTTGGCCAGGGTTAGCTTTGACAAAACCTATCTCTTTATGTTGCAGAGTGAAGTCTCACTTTAGGGCAAAGGTTCACATACATGACTCAGGAGGATTGAAACAAATAAACGGTCAACATCCATCTTCTCCATCTTGGATTCGGCGGCCAGTCTAGTTGCACAAGACTCGCATAAGGAACTCATGTCATGCCTTCTCCGGAGAAAAAGGTCCGCCGCTGGCTGAAGGGAAGAGGCATAACCCCAATTCCATTTTTCGCGCCTTTCCTACAAAACAGAAAAGGACACTATGAATGGAGGACGACAGGCGTCTCCCCTCCGAATTCCGGTGAAAAGGCAGCCCTTGTTGCAACTTCCTGCCTGTCCGGGACCTTCACAGCACCGGGCAGCGCTTGCGCAGCGCCCCTTAGAAACCAGGTCTGACGTAGTTTGTTGGTTGGGCCATATCAAAACATGCCTCAACAAACCTTCTTGAATCGAGCTCCTTTTTGGGGTGCTTTTTGAGGAACCTCCGCCCCACTTTGCGCTCAGCTGCTCAGCTCCGATCCCTATCCCCCTATCCCTTTCAGCGGGACGTGACCCTGCGTTCTCACGGAGCTTGCGATGGGATAGGGCAGGGTGGTCTGAAACAGGCAACTCGTGCTGAGACAGGCGTGGTACCGCATCACCTTGGGCTTGGCTTGAGGTTGGCTCAAGGAAACTCTCAGGTACCCCCCAGCCACTTGTAGGTCTGTGACAGCCCTGGGCAAAGGAAACCGGGAGAGCCTAGTAACTTTAAAGAAGGGGGAACACCAACCGGGCAAGTACGTAAAACATGTATTGATTGCTTCGGGCATGCCAGAGCCCATTTCCCGTTGCGTCCTGCGCAAATGAACCTGGTGGGTGCTTGAGGCACAGTGGCTCAACAAAATCAGCTGGAACCTAGATCCTCTTCCGTAAGCTCCCCGGCCGTTTCCGCAGATCCAGCGAGTGGACGCAAAGGAATCTTTGCCCCTCCTGCAACCCGAGTCGCCGATAATCGCTTGGAAGACATGCATAGTTGACTAAGTGCTCATAGGTAGGACACGTGCGGTTGACCATGTTGGCAAGAGACCAAACCAAAGGGATTTGGAGGGTGGAAACGGGAGGGGGAGGGGAAATGGTGAACTTTCTATTTGCTCCTCGCCGTCTTCCTCACGTCCATGCAAGGCCACCAGAGTTGCGTCCCCAATGTCCTCGGCCTGCACTGACCACGCCCAAGACTTGCCCCGACTCCGGGGTACAAAGAACACAAACAACACATGCTCTGTTTCATATATGGTCAGATTGCCCCAAAAACTGTCATGATGTTAATTTTCGGAGGAGACTCCAACACAAGCCATGCAAGCAACGTACTCAGGCAACGTCACTCATTCAATGTTTGCTCCATTACTCACTTCTTGCCCGCTCACCAAAGCACGGCGCCAAATAAACGTCTCTGAAGACGTGACAAGATAGTCAAAGCGCCATCCAAAGCTCGAGAGCAGAGTCTGGTCCCATTGCACTAGTGCCAGATAAACACTCGCGAAGTGCGCACACACGCAGACACACCCACCCACCCACCAACCCACCAACCCACCAACCCACCAACCCACCAACCCACCTGCCTACCTGCCTCCCTACCTACACCCTATCTACCTACATAGCAGATGGGTTGCGCGCAGCCACCATTTCACTACCAACTGGGACAAGTGAGTGCGCGTGGGGAGGTTGTAGTGCACGGGTCCGCTCCAGCGTTGTTCATTCTGGAATCAGCGTGTGGCTCAAAGGTGGCAGCACAAAGGCAAAACTCTAACTTTCCCAGGTGCAAAATGAGTAGCTTTTGCATAGTTCAAGGTATGTTGACCTGGGAACCGCTGCCCAGCACAACAATGAAAAACAACCAAACCAACAGCGGACAGCGACAAGAAACCGCCGACTTCCGTTTTAACAATGGTGGGCAAAGGCTGCTCCCAAGGCCAGCACCGTAACTCTTATTGAAGCAGGGAAGGAACACCGGACTCACATGGCCCAAAGTTGTAAAAATGAGTCGTACGAGCACTCATACGTTTGGCCAATTGCGCGTTTGGGAGACGAGGCAGTCGACCCTGTCCGACATGCCCACCTCGCAAACCAAGTCCAGGCAAATCACCTCCTCGCCCACGTTCACGAAGGACATCTTCCCCACACTCTTCCTGGGCTCTGAGGCCGGCCTGCCCTCTCCAGGCTACACAAAAGCTGAAGGGAATGTCGGGAGACAAGCCAAAGCCCTTTTGGCCGTCGCGAAATGCCTCAGGTTGTACTTTACTTGCTGAACATGAGGCAGTGAGTCGGAAAGCTTGGCATCCTTAGCCCTATCCGATATGCTTGCTGATTCCTGGTTACATCACTTCGCCTCAGCCTCTACACCCCGAGCATACTTCAACGGGGGGGGCTGATAGATGGGGAATTGAGGGACCCCCGCCACTCAACAGGAAAGGTCAAACAAAAACGTGAGGTCTGTCAAAAGCCTCACCGTAAAGAACAAGCACGATGTCAGCTGAAATCCCATTGAAGTTTCTACCATGTTGGTAAAGGTTTCAGTGGGCTTTACTAGAACTCGAGTGATTCATAATCAAAACCCGGTATTAAAATAGTCCACCCAGAACCATTCAAAGAATTCAATCGGCCGGCGAAGGGCACCCATTTCTGGTCAGGAAACTGTTTCTTAGCATTCATCCCTGGGTTTGATTGTGACTCAAAACGGCCTGGACATGATTCCAAGCGTGAAATTGGACGATCAGGGGCTTCCCCTACCCGGGGGTTTGAGCCAGTTTCTCAGGTGGTGGACCTTGCCAAGATCGCCAAGAAAAATACTTGCTGGTGCGAACTCGGCAGGGAATGAGAAAGAAAAACCATCCAACTGGCGGCTTCCTTGAAAAACCCCAGCCTGGCTGCATTCCGTTTCTCCTTCCCTGCCTGTTGTCCGCAAGAAGCTTCGGGCGAGCGGCAAGTCCACCACGCCGAACTGGGCGAACCGAGCCTCGAGGCCTGCAAGGTCCGCCACTGCCACGATGCCGCTGTAGAGATACACCTCGGTTCCCCCCAATGCCAAGGGGGAACCGCACGCCTTACACCGTTTTTAACACACAAAGAGCCAGGGAGTAACTTTTACCCCCCCCCCCCAACCCCCCCCCCCGCCAAAAAAATGCAAAGGCCTCAAAAGGGTAGCAACTTCCAATGGACCCTCTGGGTATATATATATATATATATATGTATGTATAGGGATAAGGAGTCATTCTACCTATAGGAGCCAACAATCAGCTAGCATGGTAAAGTTGGTTAATGCTAGCTGATCGACACTCACCACACTTGAAGGGGCCAGTTCTCCGAAACAGCGCCAAAAGGGCGCCGAGCCTGCCCTGGTTTTGAGCCTGTTCGGCCCTGAGAAAATTAATCATGCAGAGGGTTCCAACTACAAATAATGCAATAATAATCACGTGTGTATATAATATGTACATACATATATGTATCTATATATGTAGATATGTACACATGCGTGTTGAAGCTACCACTCACTGGCTTCCTTCCCACACCCTGGCAATCGCGGGTCAGCTTCCACTGCCTTGTGCTGAGTGTTCCCCAAGCTCGAAAGGCTGCCGGTGGCTAGTTGAGACGTGGCTCTCTGCACAAAAGCAAAACAAACAAACCCGTCGCCGGGCTGCCGCCACACGGGCGGACTTGCTCGCCCCGGACGGGCCGGATGGGCCGTACAGCCCCACGCAGCACGCGGCTGGCCGGGCAGTGGTTCCCAGGACAACGTTGCCCAGGTCTGCGGTGCCCAGCCTTCCGAGTGAGTCCGGTGCGTCCATGGGTGACATGCCCTGAGCGCCCATTTGGCCATTTGGGGGTGCCAGTCCTTTTAGGAATGCCAGTGCTTTTGATTGCGGTGCCCGGTTTCAAGGTTGCACAAAGAAGCCACAGTCAAGTCAAACCACTTGGTGCTGCATGGCCTACGAATCCGCGACAGCTGAATTTTCCAAGACCTCCCATCGGAGAAAAAGGCAACTCGTGTTTGATAGTCAAAAACAGAATGCCCCCTGCAAAAACAAGAACACCTGGCAGCACTGGAGGTCCGGGTCTTGGGGTCATAGCAGGCCAAGCGGCAGTTGCATCGACTTGGCATCGTCGCATCCTTGCGAGCTGGGCTTAGCTGGGCCCTCAAATTCCAACTCGGCAGCTGAGCACTGAGGTCCAGGCTGACAATCAGAATCTGCAATGAAACCTGCAGTCAAAGGCGCAAGCGCCGCTGACATAATGCCGGTGCTCACAAAAAACAAGTCGTTTGACTGGAGCTTGGCTGACCTGTGCGGGATCTAGGCCTCTACCATACTCGAAATACCCCAAGTGCACATTGCATCCATTCCATGCTCGCCAGGCAGCGGTAATGAGAACCAGCAAATGGCGGCCAGTCTCAGACGGAGCTGCCAGCATACAGCACACCTGGGGCCGCAGCACGGAAGCCACAACGAGTGAGTGCCAATTGACTTCTCTTTCGGACAGGGCATCAGCCATATTACAAAAAGAAGAGAAAAAAACAGAGCCACATTTGGTTTCAGGGCTTCTCCTTTCCGCCGGCACTCACATCCGCCCAGAAACCACATTCTTGCCCAGCTGCATTCTCGTTGATGGGTCCCCCACACACCTTGACGAGCCGCTGGTCCCAGCGGAAAACGTCAAGAGTCCTTGGTCTGGACTGCACACTCCAAAGTAACACGGACCGTCCTCCAAGCGAAGATTCCTCTGCAAACCTAGATCTTCATTTTGGAATTATGTTTTTGTCGAAATGCTGGGTGGCGGAAATCTTTGCCGAAATCGCACATCAATATACAGTGAACGCTGTGTTTTTTTTTTTTTTTGGGGGGGGGGGTTTACGACAACAAGAAACAACGCCGCACAACACAATTAATGACCGCCGAAATCCGCCGATTTCCCGCCGATGTCCCATCACTCTTTCGGGGAAGGAAGTGCGTGCGCTACATCAGAAACGCCGACAAGTGACAAAAACACCAAAAGGCAAAACAAAAACGCCGACAAGGTGCCCTTTTGCAAAAAGGCCAAAAGTTCGAATGAGAGGGTCGCAATGTCAAATGGAAGTTTCAGAAGAGTTCTAGACAACAGCACCGGAAAATCCAGAGTCTGCTGATGGACGGCGGGAGGGCTGTTTCGTACGATAAATGCCAAAGTTTGTCATGAGTCGAATAACACAGATGACGTGCAAAGGAGAGTGGTGTGGTTTGCCGTTTCTACACTCATCTGCGCAATGGAAATGGAGGACCCCTTGAACAACAAACAACTCCCACGACCTGCTTCCATGCATGCCTGATTTTGTGTGGGAAGGCTTCTCTTTGTGGAGCCCGAAACCTATCCCTGTTCCCCGTTTTATACAGGGGTGAGGTAGATGCCACTCTTTTGCTTTTTTGCCCATATGTAGACCAGCTACTTAAACCGAAAGATCCTCTTTGGGAAAGCTTCGCAGGAAAGCCGAACACCATCTGTCTTTTTCGGGGGGTCCCACCCCTGCAAATAGAAAGCTATCCTTTTCACATGAACCCGCCTTTTGAAAGACCCCAGTCACAGGTGAAACACTATTCGAAAGAAAAAAACATTCACCAAGAGCTGGCAGAGATTTGCCAATTGTTTAGACGCGTTTACACCAATACTGTTTAACATCCTCTTTTTGGGTTTCCCTTAGGGAGTCAATGCTTGTTTTCTGAAGGCCTCCCCCCCCCCCCGCAAATTGACATGGAGCTCAAAAAGAGGGGGTCCCCCAAAAGGAGTTTCCTCTAGACATGTGGATGGACGAACTCCCACCAAAGAAACCCCACGAAATGAATCAATTCCCCAAAGTAAATACCAGCCAACGCTTTAAATTTGGATATCCAACCATGTGTTCATTTCGTGGTTTGCGAAATGGACATCGCCACCAGTCAGTAGTGGTTGTTTGGTCGGCTAAGAAGCGTTCCTCGTATCACTGCCAGCTCCTGAAGGCCGGGTGCCACTGAAAAGCTGGCTGCGGTGGGGCAGTGGGGGGGGTGGGGGGGGGGGGGTTGGTCATCTACGTCATCTAGAAGGCGATGCATGAAAAATCACCTTTTGGCTGCAGGGACAAAAGAACTGCAACAGGCTAGGTCAAGGCCTGGGCCAAGCCAAAGAGTAGACTAGACAGGGACGGAAGATATGGTTCGTACAAGAATGGGGGGAGATTTTCGGTGTGTATAATTGAGAAAAACCACAGGCCAAGTGATCAGCTGCTATAGCCGTTTGGATCAGCCAACTCACAGAGGCTCCCATCAAAAAATATCCAAATTTAAAGTATAGGCTGGTTTTACCGAAGCCTTTGGCTAGAAACGGCTTGAAATCAAAGGCACCGTGCAATTCCCAACAAATGGGTTGTTTCCCACTTGCACGTCGCGATTCACTCAAACCCAAGGCCCTCCTGTAGTTTCTTTACTGAGCTCTCCGCAAATGCATGTCAAGCAACGCCACTCTGTCCATCGCAAAGCACACCGCGACATTTGCGGCGCCAACTACGGCACTGAGATGGTCTGCAGGGGTTAGCCAAATGGTACTCCCACTCGACCTGTGTTAGGAACACCTGGCTAAGTCTGAGACCATCCAAGTAGCTTCACTCCTCCACATCTGGCCGCGTCAGGGCAACAGGCCCCAGCACGCACTCCACGGCTGTGGCCGGGGAGACGGTCACGAAGTAGCTTCGCGCAGCCATGGGCCATCGGTGCTGAAGATGTTTTTACGCGGGCCGGCCGCGCAAAGGCGAGCGATCTGCACTAGTCACTATATGGCTGTGGGTCCAAAATGGGTAGCCAAAATGGAATCCTGGTAAATTGGAACCAACGACTGAAACCTGCGGTCCCCTGATGGTTTAATTTTGACCCATACCCATACTGTGGCTGCCACTCTGCTGCACAAAGAGTAGGAAAAGGCATGCCTTTCCTTACCAAAAGGTGAAGGCCATGCCAGTAAGTGCCAGTTGTTGAATTCGAGCATGTAGAATGTGGTGCCATCACACCGAATTACACCCCTAGAGGGCGTTTGTTTCCGGTCCCCGCGATTTATCAATCAGGTCTATCCTCAAAGCAGCGTTCTACACTCGTCAGTGCATGGTGTTATTGTTTATGTTTGATAGGCATTACTTCCACTTCTGTGATCAAGCCCGGTCGCTGAGGTCATCTGTGAGGTCGAGCCATCAATTTGGGCCTCTGCACAGTTACAGCTGATCTATGAGCAAAGGGACCGTTCTGAAAACCAGCGAGAGGGGAACCAAGTCCTACGATTCGCCTGGGCAGCGGATTCAGCCAGTGCTCAATGCTCCCTGAGCTCAAACATGTGCCAACTCCCTCTGATCTCATGAGCCAAGGACCTTGTGAAAATGCGGCCATAAAGCATTTCCATGCCTGTTCTGATTACACTCAAGCAAGGCTCACAGTCACTTGCACACACACGCACACACCAAAATAGCGCATGCGCTAGCTTCAGGTGACAAAGACGCTCCATTGCATGCAGCGCATCCCTCGCCCACATTTTACAGGTCTTCCGGATTGACAAGCCCAGAGTAGGCACTTCTGCCACCCGTGGTCCTCGCATCATAAGCTCCTCCACAAGAGGGACCTGCAGGTGGGACACTTTGGTAGGGGTCAGAGCTGTGGCCATAGCCAGAGCCAGCTTGGTAAGAGTTGGCCCCATAGCCAGAGTCAGACGCGTAAGAGACGGCTCCGTAGCCAGCGCCAGCCCCGTAGCCAGCTCCATAGCTAGGCTCAGCTCTGCCAGGATCGGCTCTGTAGACGGGATCAGGCTTGTAGCCAGGATCGGTCCTATAGCCTGGATCAGCTCCGTAGCCTGGATCAGCCCTGTAGCCAGGATCGGCTCTATAGCCAGGATCAGGCTTGTAGGCAGTGTAGCCGGGATCGGGCCTATGGCCAGGATCAGTCTTGCTGCCCGACCTGTAGCCAGGATCAGCGCGGTAGCTAGGCTCGGCCCGATCGGCTTTGTAGCCAGAATCGGCTCTGTAACCAGGATCGGCTCTGTAACCAGGATCAGCCTTGTAGGCACCAGCCCCATAAGCATCCCGATAGCCAGTGTCCTGGCGGGAAGGATAGGCAGGATCGCGGAGGGAGGCGTGATCTCGATAGGCGTCGTTTGCTTTGTATCCGTCGCCTCCCGCAGTTGGTCTCCCGTAGCCAGGTGGCGCAATGGCCACATATTGCGGCTCTGGCCGAGCTGGAGCAACTGCGGCAGCTGGAGCACGCACTGGCTCATGCCTGACAAAGCAGGTGAGGCCTTCAACTGCCTACTGGCCTACTGCTTGCCTAAAACGCTTACAGCTCTGTGCTCTTCATTGATTGAACAACAACACCCAGTCTACGTGTCTTAATAACAACATGCGGCCACACACATGTCAATTGCCTGCCATGGCTGTGCATCGCACCCTTTCGCCATCTTGGCCCGAATAGCCAACCAACCCCGTAAATTGCAACAGCTCACAAAGAGAACCATGCAACAATGCAAGATGCCAGCCCTACTTCAGCTCTTAAATCCAACACATCTTTGGTTAATTCGAGCCCATATTTCGCAACCCTTCGGCATGACGTACTTTCCTCAGGAGCCGCACACCTTAGGCAAAACCGGTAATTTCCGAGGAGGCGGTCCGAGTCAAGGCCAACGCCTTCGGCTCAAAATTTGCCTCCGCTCCCCAAGACAAAAACAAACCCGCCGCCTGCGCGGTGGCTCGGGTGGCTTCCGCTCTGGCACCGCCACCTCGCCGGTGGCAAAGGCCTCGCCGTGCTGCTCCATACCGGCCTAGCGACGCCGCAAGAACTGCTGCCACAAACCAACCACGACACGGCTTCAACAGGGCTACTGGTGCTTGGGGTGAACAACTCACGCAATAACTGGGCCCTGGGGTGAAACAGCTTTCAATAACAAGGGGGCTTGGTGAACAACTCACACTAACTTAGGGGCAAGCTTTGGGGTGAACAGCTTTAATAACTTGCGGGCGTGGGGTGAACAACTTGGCACACAAGATCCGCAAAAAGACCACCCAGCAATTGGAATACAATGTAAGGGACCCAAGCTGGGTGGAACCCCGGAACTGTTCTGGATTCAATCTGAAAAACTAACAAAAAAACTGTGTCTACTGGGTTTCAATCGGCGCCATCACCACACCGCACCTGGGAAAAAGGCAATTGAAAGGTTTGAGTGCCTGTGTGATCTTTGCGCTTTCCCCACCCTCTAGTAACCATGTGTCCATCATGTCCACCCAAGGGCTGAAGACCATAGCACAAAAGGCCACGAGCCTGGCTACCAATCAGCAAAACATGTTGAAACGCGACACCTTGTACCATGGTGCATCCTTGCCAGTCGCAGCACGCATCCCGAGCCAAGGCACCATAAACGCGTCCAAGGGATCGAGCTCCCTGGCGGGTCGACCTTTGCCCACCTTGCCATAGCCTTTTGCACCTGCCAAGCACAAGTAAGCTGAGGCAGTGTTGGACTGAGTGCCCCAATTGTCAACCTGAAAAACTGATCGTGGCTCACGTTCATCCCCAACTAGAAGAAACACATGCAAAAAGCGCACGTTCTCACAACTTTCCCCTTCCCACAAGGAGCCCCTACTTCTTACAGGCCTTGCGGGGAGAAGTACACAGGAGTGGCAGTCCTGAACAAATCAGGGCGTCTCTGGCAAGTCAAATTTTCGCGCCTGCAGCCGGAATTTTGCCTCAGCTCATTCACGTGGCGGGACAATTGCCTAGATTATTTGTCCCTCCCGCGTCCGTGCGGAACGGAAACTCCTAAGCCCAGCGCCAGGGTTGAAGCACAAACCACGGCTTTCTGAAGATTATGGGCAACAGCGGCCCCCTCAAAAAGTGCACCTAGGTAAGGTTCCAGTGGCCAGGAGGGGCAACAAACAAGAGGACCACGCACCATAAAACCATGAAAAAAAGGGAGCACCTTTTTGGAACCACGCAAATCCAACATGACAAAAGGGCTACCTGAAAAAAAAACACGAGAAAAACGGAATTCCACCACTGGAGGCGTGAAACGACCCCCCGAGGCCCTGGCTGGGCGTCAGCGTTTTGCCCACGCGGGGCGCCGGCGCCAAAGGCGCTGCGCCGATGGCGCCAATGGCTCGGGGCGGCGGGGGCGCCGGCTTCTCGCCTCGAGGGTCTCAAAGACCCGCAGGCGCCCCAAGAGGGGCCAACCCAGAAACGCCCAGGTGCTTTGTTGGTGGAAACTTGTGAATAGCTTTTGTTGGTGGAAAGCTGGGAACCGTAGAAGGGGAAATGGATCAAAATCAAATCACTGGGGGACTGTTTTTTGGTGGAAACGTGGGAACCCTAGTGGGGCAATGGGCCAACATTACCTAGGGAGCATGTGTCCCTTTACCAGGGTTCATTTTGGGTTTACCCTATTTTTGACCCACAGCCAGTAGACGGAGTTTCCAGGAGCCGCCTCAGTGGGTGCCCCATGAGAAGCCAACTGGGACGACTGCAAACAAATTAGCCTTTGCGCCTTTCCGATATTCAATAATCAGGCTTTGCACTGGCATGTGGCCAAGAGCCGTTGTTGCCTTGACTCACAAACAAAAATTCAGAGAGGGACCTTCATCATGGGTGAGCATCGCTGTGCTTCCAGGTGAGCTTGCTCTATGTGCATAATCTCGGTCAACCTTCAACCCTAAACTAAACATGTGCAACACCTGTAGCATCAGAGCCAACCAGCTTCACGTCAGCTAAGCCGAAACAGTTTCAACCGCATCACGCAAGCAGTTGATATTACTCTCTTGCCCAAAGCACCTGAAAAAAAGAGAAAAAAAAAGTAGCCTTGTTGTGCATCCGTTGGGCCCACACAGGAAACCAGTCTGCGCTGCAGATCCCCTGCTAAAAGTGTAACGTTTCGTGGGCCAAATATGGAAACCCAACCACTAAACCCGATAAAGCTAAAAAGCTAAGGAACCGGATGGCTGGGAGCCACCAAGTTTCCTATGCCAAAAGTTCGATTCACTTTGGGACACTAAGACTCCAAACCCGCCTCCCACGCTAAAACGCTGAGGGCGCAGCCATAGCGGGTGGCTCTTTCGCCTTCTCGCTCCAGCATCGGATCCCGGCGTATTCGAGGTGCCTCCTCCCGGTTTCGAGAGTAGGCCGTGGCCGGTGGATCTCGCCCTGGCAAGGAGAAATGAAAGCCGAAAGCTGATGTTTGGAAGAGCCAGGAGAAAACATGGGTGGGACCCTTCGGATTTTCGGTGCTTTACGTGGAGTTGTATACAATTCCTTTCTGACGCTGCCACTTAAACTTATAGACAAATTCAAGGCTGCGAACCTCTCCTGTGGCGTGGTGGAAACTTCCCTCATAGGGGGTCCCTCGATTCCATTGGTAGACATAACTCCCAATTCTGCAACGGGTCAGTGTGGCCCAGAGCAGCCCCAAAAACAATCTAACAGGCAAGATTGCCAGGATTTCCCCGTGTGCTCCTCTGCCGTGCAACAGTATCTCGAGAGCAAATTGCTATGAGTCCCAAACTGGAAAACAAAGAAATACAGTAAAGGACCTTGATCTCGTCATAGTTAGACTAGACCTTGCCCATCTTTTTTCTATAAAAAAACCTAGGGTCCTCCCTACACTTTTAGCAACATTTTAAAACAGCACCTCAAACAGCACATTTTCAAAAATCAACATTTTAAAGCAGGTAATTTCCTAGTAAGTTCATCCATATTTTAAAAAATAAATTTTACAAAATAATAAATTTTAAAAAAT